TAGTATGGGTTGCCTTGGATTGTCTGCGGTTTGATACCTCGGGGTGTCTTGAAGGATTTCGGGGCGTCCACTGGTTTTTTCACGGCTTGTCCCCGGCCCCGGTGCTGAGTTTGCACCCATGCCCTAAGGAGTTGCTCTTCACCTGTCTTCCGCGCGCCCCTTCTTTGCCCCTGGACTCTCAGCGCGGCTGAGGAGGTAGCGGATGCACTGTTGGAAACTACGGCAGCCACAGACGGCGCGGAGGGCAGTTTGGAGCAGAGGCGCGCACGGGTGTTCGCGTTGCTGGCGTCGCTCTTGGATCCCGTGGTGCTGCCTTCAGGTGCGTTGGATGGACCGCAGCTTTCTGTACAGGTGTTAGATGACGGAGTTTAGGTACGGGCATACCAACGGTATGGCGTCTTGCTTTGGTTCAATATGCTGCTGCCTTTGCCTGTTTCGTGTTCGCGTTCCATGAGCCTGCTGCCTCGTCTGGATTTAAGAGCTCAGGCTTGGATGTCAATTATATTTCTATAACAATTGCAGTTTATATGGCAGGTGGCCGCTACTAGCCTTCAGTTGTGGTCACATTGCATGTTGAACGAAATCTGAACCGCTGCTTTGCGGCCTTGGGTTCCTAGACTCGCTAGGCTGGCAAAATATTTCTCCTGTATAGCGATCATGTTCTTGCGGTCATACTGCAACGAAATGCCAAGGAAATCCTCTGCCAAGACACGGATGCCTCGTTAAAGTATTAAGTCTGTTAGGACAGGTGTATTAGAGTGGCAGGCTGCGTCTTATACGGGGCTTCTTGTAAGTGGCGCGCTTTGTACGAGGGAAGTTTTTGCAGTTGTTTTTGCGTTGTACGGGGCTAGCGCGCATTTTCTATTTCATACCAACAGTTTTAGGTGTCGTCACGGAATCATTCCAAAGCAAATGCCCCAAACGTTTTCTCTACCTCTTGTTGCCACTCTTTTGGCGTCCTGTCCTGTGGCTTCTGCTGGTCTGCAGGAAGTGTCGTACGCAGCGACCATGGCGCAGGTGCAAGTGGTCTAGCTGCTCTGGTAGCTTGGTCGACAGAGGCAAAAGGATTCGTTACTGTTGGCCTCTCAGATAATAATGAGAGCAATTTGTATATTCCGAAGTCAGTTCAATTGCCGATCGGAGCGTCCTGCACCAACGCACTGCGGGTAGAGCGGATGCTCTTGATAAATTGCTTGCAACGGTTACTGCAAGTTTACGGCTGCAATATTGATACTAAGCTAGGGAAGGACCGCGGGTGCTAAAGAGGCCGCGGGCAGATGGACGAGCTGTACGGATTTAGGATTTTGTTGAGGCATTCTTCATTTCCTTCAGGGTGTTACTTATCTCGCAAAGCTTGTTTCTTGTATGTACAGAGTGAGACCATTGAAACGTTACATTCGTTTCCTCTTTCTAAAGCAGTTGCAGCAAAGAACTTATTAGCGTTTCGTTCTTGTGCACCACGCTGACATGGCAACAACTACCGCCCCTATCAGCCCGTAAGAAGTTACCCGGTGCTCCAAGTATCGGCTTTCTGATTTCGGCGGCCTCCTCGTGTTCTGACTTCAATGCCTAATTCCAGGAAGGGTCCCACCACGTACCTTGAGAACAAGGAGCGGGGCTACAACAGCAAGGCCAAGAGCTTAATATATGGTGGAGAGGAGAGGCCAGATACACCCCAGAATGTCGGCAAGAAGAGTAAGGGCGCTGCCTGCTAGCGCTGGTCTAGTCCTTCGTCAATGGTGGTCACTTTCATGGCGCCTTTCCCGCATTTGCGCTAACGGATGGATTGTGGTATGAACCCGCTACAGTAAACCCACAACTTGGTGGCGCTGGGGCTTTAATATGCCGTATGTGCCTTTTGCCTTCTGTGAAGGCGTCCCACACAAGGGCGGCAATGGAGCGGCTCCTTTCGCAACGTACGCTCCTGAAGATCAGCCTGAGAGTAAGGAGTACCATATCAAGCCCAAGTTGAAGGAGGGTGCTGCAAAGGTATTAATGTCAACTTGGACTCCATCAACGGTCAAGTCAAGCTCTTACCTTTCGCGTATGCTACCAGTTTGATTGATGCTACAGCATATCAACAAGAGAATAGATGCCAACATTTTTTCCTGTCTCATATTTCAGATAGTGGTCGCAACGGCTGTTCTGTTCACGTGGAAAATACTCCTAACCGTTTTTACCTGCCTTTGACCTCCCGGTCGTTCCTACCCTTGCAGCCAACTGGGTCAACATTTGACACAGATGTCTACCGACAGCAGATTGCCCAGAACTTCACGAACATGCAGGCCAGCAAGGCGCGCAATTACGGCGGAAATGGAGTTTTCAACTGAAGAAGACAACGCAGGAGTAACATGGTGGCATTATTGGTGTCGCCGGGACCGATAAGCACGGGGTGACCCAGATGAAAACCTCGTGATTTGTACAGATACCGTGTATGGCCCTGTATGTGTTCCGATCCGGCTGATTCCCACATAATGGCGTCGTGAGATGCGTAGTTGGTAGTACAGATACTCTCTGCTTAATTTCGGCGTACGTGCAGGCTTCGTTCGCACGACGGCGAGGGCCATGGCACGCCTGGGGATTGTGTGAGCGTGGCTAATCAACAGAAAGGTCGTTTGATGGCGCACTCGTGTTTTGCATTGTCATGTATGTGATTTGCATGTATGACCTCACATGGTCCAATGGCAGGCATGTCGGTTGGACACCGCTATTCATGATGCAACTATGTGTTGTGTGGCTGCAGAGAGGTGTGCGCATGTGTTTGTCGTGCAGGCCTCTGGGTTTCCTGCACGCCTTGACAGGAAGAAGCCAGTTCAGGGATTCTTAGAATCAAGCTTCGTCAAGTCTTTTCCTGCATTAGTTTTGGTAGTCCTGCCTTCCAAAAGGCACAGACAAAAGGAGACGTATAAGCCGTATATGCCAGTGTGAATTGGTTATCGTATAAACGAGATATAAGAGGATTGTAACCTTGGCCAACCACCTTACCTGACGATCGATCAACGTGCATGCCCATGCAAAAAATGCGCTGTGCGCTACCATACAGAAATATGCGATGAAAATGTAAGCAATGCAAAGGTATTTGTACTAAATAAAATCCCACCAGCATAAACATGTTGCAAAACCAGGCAAGGTGCTTTATTGGGGCGGCCCAAGGTCCCTACAGCCTGGATTGCATGCCAAGCTGAAAGAATGACAATAACAAATGTCGGCTGCGCCCTACGATCGCGAGGCCAATGGGCTGTAAAGCAATCAGACAGTCATCATTGCACATGTAGACGATGAATCTTGAGTGTTGCTTGCGCGACTCAGCGTGGTACGTGAAAGTTAAGTTCTTTGCGCTGCCCCACGTGACAGCGTGACCAGTCATCAAAGGCTGATGTGACGAAATCGATCTCCCACGCTTTCAGTTGCTCACCAGGCCCACACCCTATCCTACCAGCGGTTTGAGATCTTGCCGGGTTCAGTTTTACTTCTCGTTCAAAGTGACAATTAACATGAAGGGCATGTGGCGGACAGTTGAGCTTGTCAAACCTAGGGCACGTATCCATGCATGGCCATCCCAAGGTAACAGGGATCCAACCTAAGAAATGGATAGCCATTTACAGCCAACTTCAATCCTTTGGCAAGTCAACAAATATAGGCAACGAGGTTTCCCGTCTGCAATCCTTATCCGCTCATCCATGGCGGTGCCACTATCGACAAAACCCTAAGCCCTCCTTGACAGCATGGTGCGTGTCCCAGGAAGGCGCGTCAACAGCAACATAATGATCCCTTGCAGGGCACACTCGCCGTGCATTTCTGTACTCTTTAACAGTCTGTTCCTTCCTGCCAGTGTCTACGCTCAATAGTACACGTTACACACAATACCGCGTTCTGTTTCACATCAGATCCTCGCCCAGTTTGCCGACATGCTTTGCCTGTCGCATCCACATCCTGCGCCTTAATCAGGTAGAGCAGGCAAAACTCACACCCTCTTTTCTTTCCGGAGCATGTAAAAAATCGTGTGAAAGAGCACGTCCAAGGCGTCATGTCCGACATCGCCTAAACAGAGTCCTCACGACCGAGCCACCGCCAAAACATCGTATGCTTGGGCCCCGGCGCATTTGAAATGAAAAAGCGCGGACACTCTCGCTCATTCACTGCATTGCCCTTTAACCAGTCTCCCTTATCTTTAATGCAGTTTACTTTTAACCAGCGAGAGCGCCCACTTGGCGCCCATTTAAACCCTGGCACTTTGCGTCTGCGTACACTGGAGACGTCGGCCTTATCCCTAACCCTTACACGGCTAGTATACACTCAAAATCTTTATGCATGCATGTATGTATGTAGAACAGTTCCAGTGCTCATTTCCCGACCCCGCCGTCGCACACCGCCCCTCCCCAGCGTTCCCTGGCCCGACTCATTAGGACCTGTCCCACTTTCCCTCTACCGCATCTTTACCTCTTGTTCACCGGTCTAAGTGTTCGTCCTCTTGCCTCACTTTTACCGTCTTGTCGAGGTCCCCACACCGGCCGCTTCACAGCCGCGGCTCCTTGGTAGCCGGCCGCTCTGCCCCCGATGCCATTCGCCAGCTGTCCGGCATAGTCCCCTCCTCCTCCGCGTCGTGGGACCACAACGAATTAAACAGCACTGGCGGGGAAGCGACGAGGAGAAGCGGGTAGCGGGTCACGTAGGGTCTCATCGACCCACCACCACCACGACGAGGACAGAACGGAAGCCAAAATGCGAATGCCCCGGCCAAGGAAAAATGAGCACGGGTCCGTACGGGTTGGTGGCCTACGCGGCGACGAGGGTTCCGCAAGCCGAGCCTATCGTTGCAAACGGAGCCCGTAAAGGCCCAACAAGGAGGTGTCCCGAGGTTGGAAAGCATCTCCCTCCTGGTGCGGCCCGCACCCTAATGACACACCATTGGCAGTGGCCCGCCTGCCCAACATACCGACCTGGGCCCCGTACCTCTGGGCTGGTCCACCTGCCTCACAACCCCAAACTGCGTCCTCACCTCACCTCTTTCTTCCCCCCTGCCACATTACCACACCGCCACAACTACCCGGCGAAGGGTGGTATCGCCCACCTGTGGACAGATATCGCTCTCCAAAGCTTGGTAGCACCGTCACAATCAGCTTGTCGCGGTTCTCCACTCTCTTAGCCAGGCGGATGGCGGCGCACACGGCGGCACCTGAATGGCGCCACACACACCGGCAAGCCAGCCAGGAAGCAAAGAGCCAGGGACGCTGGACGGTTGCAAGGCAATGCCTCCGAGTTTTACCTGCGAGCTCTAGAAGGGTATATATGCCCCGTCGCAGAAAGGCGCCCGCTTAGTTGGGAGCCCCAGCAGGCCCCGGGCTTTTACCAACGTCCCAACTCCAATTCCAATCTCAACACCAGGCTCTCTGGTGCGCCCTCGGCCCCGGACCTGCCCATGCACCCGCCCATCCAACCCACCGGAGGAGATGCCGCACAGCAGCCCCTCCTCAACTGCCAACCGTCGGGCCATCTCAACCGCCTCATTGCTGTTCACCTTAAGGACCTGAGTGGAGTAAGACGGCGCGCAAGCACGTGACAGATTAAAGGAATGAACCTGCAGTATTCCTCCAAGTCTCAAGTATTCTGAAAGTACATGTCTCTACGCTTTTGCCTTGTCGCGTCTGCGTTTCCCAAGGTCCTGCTCAGGTCCTCGCCCGAAAGGCCCCGCTTCCTTTCCCACCTCGTCAAGAAGGTCAACCCGAAGGTTCCTGGGCACAAAGCCCGCACCAATGCCCTGAATCTGGTGGTAGCCGGGTGCGCCTCCGCTGATGACCGGGGACTCAGCAGGCTCCACCGCCACCAGCTGGACTCCGGGCTTGTGCTCCTTGAGGTACTGGCCTACACCTGCAGGCCGAGTAGTACGCGCACACCATCGCTTGAGACGAGAGCGAGTGGGCAACGGAGTGGAAAAGGAAAAGTTGCGGAAAGGGAAGTGATCAGTCAAGGATGTCACGAGAGAGGGCTGCTGTTGGCGCATCGCATGTGTGTAGGGGAGGGCATGGAGCGGAAGACGGTGCACGGGGCCTCCGAGATCTCATATGGGGATCGGATCGGCGGGAAAGTAGGATCATGAACAGGTCTTACACTTCTCCCTACCCGAGATAGTTCCGCCGGTGCCCACTCCCGCCACGAAGATATCGACCCGGCCCGCCGTGTCCCTCCAAATCTCAGGGCCCGTGGTGCGGTAATGTACTTCGGGGTTGGCGGGGTTGTCGAACTGCTGCAGCATGAAGGCGTTGGGGGTAGACTGCACAAGCTGCTCCGCCTTGCGGATGGCGCCAGTCATGCCCTGGATTCATCACGGCAGAAAGCACGACAGCAGCGGCGTGGCGAGGTAGTGCCAATGCCGGGGCGGATGCCACAGTCAATGATGATGTCCATCACGTCCGCCACGTCACTGCCGCAGCGCCCCCCAGGACGTGGACCATCGCAGGGAAGCGGCGACCGGCGAGCAGGAGAGCCGCGGTGGTTCCGGTTGAGGGTGGTCACCGGACTGCAGGTGGCCGGCAACTGCGTGCGTGCATGTGTGTGTATATATGTGCATATATGTGCATATATGTGCATATATGTATATACAATGTAGGTGGGGCGTGTGTTCGTATGGTTGGGGGGTCGCCAGGGTCGGGTAATGTCCGGGATTGCATCTGGGTGCGGTCCCGTACTGACATGACTTGCTTCGTGGCCTCCCCGGCCTTCCCCGGCCTCCCCGAGCCAACCCGAAACCTTCTTGTCCTGTCCTACTAATTTGCTGCGCACCATGTCAACCTGCTCCAGCCAGTCCTCGAACTCCTCCTTTGAAGCCAGGCGCTCACGCCTGCCCAGTTCCCCCGATCTTCTTGTGCCCGTCCTGATGTGCACGATGATGCCCACTCATGATGCCCACTGATGAAACTCATTAATTACTCTTTTTTACCCATCTATTATTTGCAAGAAGTCAACAAGATTGCTTAGGGTTGCCTCCCTCCAGTCCCCCAAGCAAGTATTCCGTCCTTAGACACAGGACCGCAGCTGGAACCACCCCAAGCCACCAGCCCAAACGCAGCCCCGCACCAGCCGGCCAGGGGTAAGAATGAGCGTCGCGCCAAAGGCCCGCAGCAGCACCCGCCGCTCGATGCTCATGGTTTCCGGCATGGTCAGAATCAGCTTGTAGCCCTTGGCTGCTGCGACGTAGGCCAGGGCGACGCCCGTGTTACCGCTCGTGGGTTCAACCTGGTGGAGATGAGGGCGACAGGAGGGCGTGCCGAGGAACCGCGGCCGCAGGTGGTCGGTGAATGGGTCGATGGGCCGATGGAAGGGTTGGACCTCTGGGCGGGTTGCGGTTCGATCGTTTTGCAGTGCCATGCGGGAAGAGGGGAGGCACAAATGGTGCAAAATATGGTGGAGAGAAAATCAATGATACACGGCTGAAAGGCGCGTAACAGGGAAACCGTCAGATCAATCTATGAGGTACTGTGCCAGGCGACCCAAGGAAAGGTTTTGAGCAGAAGGAAAACGTCTACCATACTACATAAAAAAAATCCTTAACCCTGCCTGCGGCACTCTGGCCCACGCGCTCACGCACAAGGATAGTTCGACCAGGCTTGATTTCCCCTTGGAGCTCAGCGCGGTCGATCATGCTCAGCGCAATCCGGTCCTTGACGCTGCAGCGCGACAAATGGTTCATAAGAGGTCATAGTAATACAGCTGACTGCAAACAATACTCAATCAGGCGATGATCAATCATGCGCGATGGGAACCTGAATGTCCGTTCAGGATAACATACCTGCAGCATGGCTCGAAACTTTCAAGCTTCGCGGCGATGCGACCGAGACATCCCTTTGTCACTGAATTCAGAAATACCTAGATAGGAGTAGACACTAGTCTCAGAAGACGTCGCCGTCGGCAGGTCAGGAATGCAGTGCATGCATTTGCTCATACCATGGGTGTGTTCCCGACTAGCTTTGTTGCATCCGTCTGAATTCCATGCTGTGGAATTGGAATACTAAACAACGGGTCCGGCCTCTCCAGCGAGATTGCCGGTTGCTCAGGTAGCACTGCTGCGCACACGACCGGACCGCTGCGCCGACTTCTGCAGGCGAAGCGTGAAAATCTGCAAAAAAGAGCTTTTGAGCGGTGCTCTACCAAATTGCAGTGTACACGATCCGTCAACACAGCCATTTCTAGTGTTCAGGGATGCTCCGTGACTGCAACGTAATCAAAATAATTCTTCCCAAACGCTATTAAAGGAACATGATAATATAATGCTTCGTCGCAGGCATAACCGTCGATAATGATTCTCGTCCAGTCTGTACAGCCCCATGTGCCACGAAGAGAGTGGAAGTGCCGTTGAATCGACATCGCACGGCAGCTTCTGAAAGCAGGCTCGCAGGGATTATAACCTTTATCAATCAGACCTCATTATTTTATGGATGGATGGATGGATGGATGTTACAAGCTTCAGCGAGCTCGTACGGCCCAAACGAACCCGGAGGCTCATGAACCGCTTTGACAGCGCCGTCGATAGGGAAAAGAAAAACGAGAAAAAGTAAGCGAAGCACACAAAACAAACAACAAAAAGGAAAGTTTTACGCAAGATGAAAACGGGTGTTATGAGAGAGAACAGCGTCAATTTGACTCTGAAACACAATTGCCTGTTACCGCCGAGAAAGTTAGGTAGTTAGGTGCTCATGCCGGGAGCGAAACATCTCAAAAATTGCCTTTGCAAGACCACGCTGATCATCCACTTGCATGATATCACGGATGTTCGCATTGACGGGCACACCGAGGTTCCAGAGCTTCTGACGCGCAGACATAATCGCCGGACATTCTACCAAGAAGTGTTTTTCATCCTCAATAGCATTATTTTATTCTCTGACGTGTTTCCTGGGAAGGGTACAACACGCGACAGCTTTCCGACATACAAGAAATAACCATCAATCGTCCCAGAGGTGTATCTCAATCAGACAGCGCTTGTGAGAACTAGATGTTTTTCTTTTTTGTTGGCGGTGTGTCACAGAAAACTGTAGTCCTTCGCACACTCGCGCAGCGCTGCATCAACTGCGGGTCTCAGGTGCTTCGCGAGGAGCGTGTGGACAACGTTCTCAGTATATTTTTCCTTCCTGTCTGGACGATTAGCAAAGGAACTGCCTTCATTACCTGCGGCACCTGCGGCTGGACGTCATTCGAGGACCAGACCCAGCTGCCGCCTCCACCCTCGCCACGGCTGCCCCAGCTTCCATCACGACAGTCAGCTAGCTGCCCCGGGTGCGGCCGCCATGTACAACCTGACTTCGCGTTTTGCCCTTCCTGCGGCCGCAGCCTGGTGGGGTAGAGTTACCGGCGCGGCAAGGAGCGGAGGCGCATGCACTGTTCCCAGCCATCAATATTATGACCACACCTTGCTTTGCTTGGCCTCGTTAAGCGGTAGCCCTCACGGACTACTTGCCTCATTACATCACATGTGAGTATGAGCACACTTTAGCTACTCTGGCAACGTCGACCCATCCAAATGGGAGCGACTTGGGAACCGCCTGAAGTGGCGTACGTGCTGTTGGGAATGACCGACACTCATACACCAGAGAATGGTGACAGCAGTAATAGGACCCGGGAGGGTCCGCGGCGCTTTGCTGGTCTTAACACGTACATTATGCAGGGCAGTCAGGGCAGGATTCGGTGTTAAAGCGGGGACCGGCAACCAAGCCGACCAGTCGTCGTGCAGACAGCTTAAAGAAGCCAGGAAACCCAGTGACTGAGCCCGCGCAGGCCACAGCAGCATCTTGAAGAATCTTGGCGTCATGTTGAGATTTAGATGGTGACCAGTGGTCGCAGTCACAGTCAATTGAGCATACAGTAGCATACAGCTGCAGCCGAATTTATGCCAGGGGAGCCGCTTTGGATCTGACAAACGTAGAGGAAGTGGAGCACCCCCAGTGCATGGGGGTTGGAGGGGGAAGTCTGTTACTGCGGCTCTGCAGGTTCCGGAGCCTGCATGTGGAGTGGTTCCGCAGCTAGGCAGCGGAAGGCGTGCACCGCCGGCATTTGTGACCTTGCGGACTACTAATTGCGAGTCGCCAAGTTGCTAAGGCGTAAGCATGGAGGTTGACGGTTTTTTGTTGAAGTTCCGACATGTACTTATACACGATAAGGCTAGTCCGATACGTCGTTAACCAACTCCAAAACATTACAGTTTGCAAGCCTATAGCCAATCTGTCGGCAAGACACATGAGGTCACAGCTGTTGTGTGGTTACCACGTTTGTTCGTGTTGTAAACCGTCGTTCGCGTTGCCAATCCGTTTGGTTGGCCCCTGCTGTTGAGCGTTTCGATACATCGGCAGTTTGCAAGTCCCGCAACCACACGGATGGCATGACCCAATGAAGCTGCCGCTCTAGCACAGTTACGTATGACCACCCGAATTTTGCCGCCGTACATGCACTGCACAGTTGCACTGGTAATGTACTTCACTCTAGCTGCGATGATGGCTGCGCTTGCGTTGACGAGCTAATCCGACACCAGCATCTTACAGACAGGAGCAAGATTGACCGGCAATGAAACAGATGGAACACAAGTCATTAGCCCGTTCCCTTGTTTCTTTTGTTCTTAGGGATTTGGATTCTAGGGTTTTAGGGTTATAAAACCCTAAAACCCCAAACTCATATTAGTAATGGAGCTCACTCCCCAACGGGAAACTAAGACTATTTATGAAGTTCATGAGAATGCAATAAACTGCTATAGCAACGGTATCTATCTGTCCCGTGAGTTGCAGTATGCAGATCAGCCGTGCGCATCCCCCATATGTTTCTCGGCGCACTGTCGCCGCTTGCAAATACCCTTGACATCACAATCGGATGTGGGAAGATGGCTACGGCAAACAATTTCGCCATAGCCATCTCCCCACACCATCTCCGATGATAGCCCTTCAGCAATCTCCCTCTGCAAGATTCAACGACGTCTGCACTTACGAGTCACAGAAAAAATCGTTTATCGTACTGCCACGTGTTTTTGGTGCCGTGCAATTTTGGTTAGGACCAGGACAAGTTAATTGCAGCTGTGGTACAAGTCTTGGTAACGCTCCGGGGGCCATCCGCCCTGCTGTTAGCGAGCAAAGCACCAATGCGCGAGCGTAAAAGAACATCATAAACACCGACATTACTTAACCCCCCGTACTGCAAAACAATACGTGCTTTATGAGCCCCTCAAGAGGTAGCGGGCTGGCTGGCCTTGATGTGCCGCGTGTTGACGGTGTACAGCATATTTTGGTGCTATGCAATTTGGTGTCAAAGAATTCCCATGCCAATGGGTTTTTTCCGCTGGCACAACAGTGGTGACCTCCCGCAGTTGTGTAGCACCAATATATCGTGTATCCGGTTACACGCCATCACCACCAGCAGACTCCAGCCACCGGAGGGAAAGAAAGTTGCGCCCCTTTCCCTCGCTGCCCCCGAACCCGACACCGGCGCCACCTAGCCGTATGTCACACTTCTTCCACGTCATCCACGACTGGCCGCCTGGCTCTACCCATCATCGTCCCTCCCTCCTTTCAGGCTTTCCTTGACTTCTCACTACTCCCAGCCAGGCCAGAGTCCTCCATACGTTTTCCCCCCCGCACAGCCTTGGCGCGTTTCCGTGCTGAACCGAAATGTTTATGCCTTGTTTTCCTGCTTCCTCCCAAAACGTTGTGCTTCCGGGTCGCCTGTGTGAGGAAAAGCCAACCACATACATGTCCTCTGCCGTGTTGAGCTGCTACATGTCATTTTCGTCCTCGGGGTGGGGAGCTGACTCCAAGTCCCGCATGAAGGTGCGCGGGTTGGGCACCTGGCCGTTGAATGTGGCCTGGGAGAAATCGAACCCCGGGTGCTGCACAAGGGAGGGGAAGGGGTTACTGAAAAATTAGAAGAGTGAAGTTTAAAGAGAAGCACCTATCAACATGGGAAAGGTGACATTGTGGTGGAGGAGGGGGAGCAGTTACACGTCAGCTAGGGAACAGATGCGTGTGCAGGTGTGTGTGTACGAGGTGTCTGCGGGTGCGGGATATGAGTCGCGCGAGGAGAACGGAAGGCAAACGGAGATTCGACTTAATTAAAATACGGAGCAGGGGAAGCGGACTTATATACACACACATGCCAAGGCAAGGAACAAACAAGGGGGATGTGGTGGTGCACATTCAGAAACCTCTCCCCAATGTCCCTCTTTGATTTACACCTCTCCCGAACTTTCCACAGCTCTCAACCAGTTCCCTCATCCCCCACCTCCACTTGAAATCTCTCTAGCAGGAGTCGCTGCTGATCAGCCTGCTGGGTGACCGGGTCCAGGGAGTGTCCCGCAATGGCGCTGCCCCACACCTCACCCTGCCGCGGAGAGGGGAGGGCGGAGGGGGAAAGACGAACCACAAACGAGTGAAGCTGCTGCCAGGGCAAGAGTGTACCAGACGTAGGGCGGAGGGGGGAGGGAAGGTCGGAGGAGAGGGCATGAAGGGGGCGGACTGAATCGGCGTCGCTGCCGCTGCAAAGCAGCAAGTGCCGCCGCTGCACCGGTGCTGCAGCACCAGCCAAAAAAAACAACGACAAAAACACAACATCAGCAGCTTTAACCCCCTCCCAGGACAGCCCGAGGAAAACCAATGCGCATTACGATTGTCAGCTAGCTGTATGTTTATAGAGAGGGAAGTGAGATACTGTCAACAACGCGCAGGGTTCAAGGTAACAGCTGTAGCGGTATTTCCCACAACCCCCGCCGAATTGATGCCACATATAGGCAACATGCAGGCACGGTGATGTCCACGATCACTGACATAACACATCACACATGACGTATGGCATGGGATAGCATGGCATGTGCGAACGATACGATGTTTCCCACGAGGCATGGAGTGGCGGCGCACTGCGAGCCCAACCCGGCCAGCAGCGGTCGCTGCCTGTGGCTGTGGCTAGGAGGGAAGGGCGGGCGAAAGGTGAAGGTGTATACGGGTACATCCGCCAGACGTCAAAGCGGACGCGAGTGTCTCTACCTCCGCCAGCTTCGTCAGGTTGATGTGCAGCACACCGTCCTCTACCGGATAGCGCGGATGGTGGCAGCAGATGCGGCGGGGTGGGGACGGGGGAGGGAAGGGACACGTCAGGGGTGACGTCATCAGGGTCCTCCACAAGGAAGAGAGGTGTTGCCGGTTGTCGTCCAGGTAGCAGCCCTGGAAGACAGTACACAGCGAAGGAGACACCCCTTTATCTCTCTCGCTCCCTCCTTCTCCAGCTCTCTATCAAGAACCTCTTGCGCGCCGCTGGCCCGCTGAAAGACACCTGACCTCTGGGTGCTCCGGCCATCACCTCCAACCTCAGGATACGCCGCAGAGAACGGCAGGGGGGATGGAAGCGGGGCCCCCGGGCTGACCCATGGGTCAGCTGCTTTGCGTACCCTCTCCCTACCCGGTACGGTCACGTCAGGTCACGTCAGAGGTCATATTCCCCCGGGGGACCGGATACTCGGGGCCATACAACCGCCCACGCAGCAGCACGTACCTAGAGTCCAGAAGCTTTCGGAGACCTTGACGGGGGCCGCCAGGTCGCTCTGCTCTCTCGCCGGGTAGCAGTGGTGGCAGCGGTGGTGGTGGTGGTGGTGGTGGTGGTGGTGGCAGTGGTGGCAGTGATGGTGGCGTATTTGATTAGCGATTGGGGTCAAAGAGACGGGATGTGCATAGAATGTGAAGGCTAAGGAGTGGCTGTTGGCAAGTTTGACTTCTTATCCGAGCAAGCCTTCAAAAGCATAGGAAGGCGTGGACAGTATAGCCCCGTGCGCAGCAGGATTGCTAGAATTGTGAATAGGCTGAATGCTTTTGAAACGTACAGCATGCCCTTACAGTCGAATAATTACGCGGCATGGGGTTTCCGGGAGCGTCGGCCCGGCGCCTCTCCCTCCAGGATTCGTTCCCCCCATCAAGGGCACGGCGATCCAGGACCCATGGTTGACGCGAGAAAGGCAGTCACGACAAGAACTCACATCCATGTAGGGCGGGTTGGGCCTGATTCCAAAGCGCAGGTGCTGCGTGGTTATGTCGACGTACAATTGCTTTCCGGTGACGCCAGGAGGAACATTGGTGTAAATGTTTACTTCACTGTACGTCTGATCCCATTCATAAACGACTTGTCCGTTGTGCCTATATTGATGTCGCTTTGTTGGAGCTAGACGGTCGGCCATTACCCTGAAATCCCTATGACTGCGGCTATTCCGTAGGCGCTTTTTGCTGCTGTAAGAACTAACAATCAGATCGTACTGCTGATAGAGCTAGATTAACTGCTTTGTGAACGGAGTAGAAGCAAGCTACCGTAATCGTGTATCACTACACGTCTGTTGGTGAAACAAATTTCTAATTAATATTTCCTCTTTAGCTACCTATAAGTAGCGTGTCGATAATACTGTAGTCCATCGAGGATGGCGCCCAAGCCGAAGCAGCTGACGGCACCCTTGAGGCCAATCCTTGTAGCTGGATTGGCAATTTTACTTCCCATATGCTTTTCAGCCTTCGTGATAGGCATTTTTGGGATGCGAATTCTCTTGGGTAAGCACATCTGTCTTCGATGCCCGAGTGTGTAGGAATGAAAGCCTTAGTCCGTACTAATGTAAAACGCGGATACGATGCAGCATAATAAAATATGAAGCAGAGGTAAAGAGGGATATGCCTGTTATGGTGACCCGCGGACCGCTTCTCCCTTTTTGGCTTACAGCGCCAGCCGCTTCGTTCCAACTGCAATCTTCCTCCGCTGCACAGATGAAGATGGCTCCAGCAGTCTCAGCCGAAGCGTCTTCGGACAATACTACAAGCGGCTCATCGCCATCAACCCGTTCTTTTCTGCTTTAATTTTCAATGGCGGCATGATCGGCTCCATGTTCTGCGTTACGAAGCTTGTCGAGCACGGATACGCCGCGAAGGTGCGTCCATAAGGGAAGCAGCTAACTCAAAATACCTGGAGAGCGCATGCACATATTTCTCCCAGACTTGCCGTGCAGCCTTTTACAAACCGATAATAGCTTCCGACCTTGCTACTAACTTCATACAAAAGGGCCACGGCGTAAACTCCCCTCAGCTGCCCTTGGAACCATCGACTAGCAGTTGATGTAACCATGCAGCTTTCCTCGCTGCCTACTATCTGCTGCCACCCATCTGCTGGCGCCCGCTGCCCGCCCGCTGAAGTCGCAACCCTCTATGACCACTTTGCTGCAGCGGATTAAGCAAGAAGGGCAAGCAGGGGCGGCGGCAGCACCTGCAGCGGCCGCTGCTGCTGCTGCCGCTGCTGCTGGAGGTGCTGGAGGTGCGGAGGCGTCGGAGACCAAGAAGGACAAGTAGAGAGCGGGACAGCCGACTCGCGTACATGGGGCCCTCCCCACACCCACACATACTAACCCAACCCGCAGGCGTTGATTTTGGTGGGTCGCATGCAGTCCCCCGAGGGCCCACTGATTGACTCCTGGCCTGCTAGGCTGGGGCCAAACACGACCGGCTGCACGGCCGGGCCCGGACCTGCGGGGCGGTCCGAATAATCCGTGCTCCAGCCAGGTGTGTGGATCTGCCAGCGGGCTCAGAATGACCTAGGGGTGGCTGACTGTAACGGCTGCACTTTTGGACTGTTGCGGTGTCTCCAGACATGAACAAGGGCTGAGGACCTCGAGAGGGGGTCCACAAAGAGGAGGAAATCAGGAGATCCAGACGAGATCCAGGAGAAAAAATCCAAATGGCGATTGCGATAGATGAAAGAGCGTGGCGGCACGTTCTGTGGTGATGGGCTGTCGATGATGGTGGTTTGGGGTGTCTGGGCCTGCTGAGATGATGTGCGTACAGGACCGTACGCACAGAAGTTGCATTGCACATCACATTGGGTGTCGCGTTGATTACGCGTCTTGATGGCGGGTGGAGGGTTTGGCAGTGGTGGTGGGCGCTGTGCAGTGAAAGGGGTCGAGGCTTAAAAGTGGAAAGGAGCGTCTGTGCATCGACAGCCAAGAGCCAACGACCTGCAATCGATGATACCTGAAGACACAGCAGGCTTTGCTGAGTCGCAGTTTACACCGGATTCTCGTACGTCGGTAACAAACACAAATTGTGACCATGACCTCAGCAGCTAATCCTACATCAACCGCTTAGCCGCGACACATAACTATAGCGGCCCGCAGCCCCAGGGAGTACTACAACAATCGCAATCCACAAACCTCCTGCCTGGAGCTTGTGGAGCACCTGCCCTTATTTAGCTGCCTTGTAGGACCCACCCTCCTCGTTCGTGGACGGTTTCTCTAATCCTAATCTTCTCCTGAAACCAAATGGGGAAGGGGGGAGAACACCACGAGACGGACCCCACCCCTCCTGTCGTTTCAGCACCCATTCCGTTATATCACGACTCCAGAAAAGTACCGATCGGCGAGATGCAGATCCCGTGATATGCCCAGGATACTACACATTCCCTGCTGCGCGGGGGAGGATCCGAAACTCCCCACCCGGCCTCCATCCGTCCTCACAGCCCGCGGTGTGACTCGTCGAACGGCTACACGACGCGACTGCCCCCTCTTCGCACAGATCACCGGCCACAAGGACCCTCTTGTCCAGCCACATGTGTACTTATCACATACACCTGTCCTTCGCGTGCTAACTCCAAGCAACTGGGGAAATAGCCGGTTTCGGAGGCAGGCGCTGGCAAGCCAGGGTCCCTGGAGGGATGGGAGGGAGAGTTGCTTGCAGTTGCTGGAGTTAGCACGCGAAGGACAGGTGTATGTGATAATCCCTCCAAGGACCTTGGCTTGCCAGCGCCTGCCTCCGGAGCCAGCTATCTTTCGTCCAACCGAACGCACCCGAACGCATGCACGCACGCCACCCCGAATGGCTGGGGACGGGGGCTACGGCACCCTCGGGACCGACGGGACCGCGCCTCGTCCAGGGACCTTGGCTTGCCAGCGCCTGCCTCGGAGCCACCTATATATTGTCCAATCCCAAATTGTCTATAGCTTAAGAAGGGGCTTTAGCTCAGTGGTAGAGCGCGCGCTTTGCATGCGTGAGGTCACCGGATCGATCCCGGTAAGCTCCATATAGTCACGTGTAAAAGTTGTAGAGTTTAAATGATCATTCTGTTTTTGAGGCGTTTATTGTCCTAGTGGACATGAGCGCACCGCGCGTACTTGCAGCCTTTGTGACTGTGGAGCGGTTGAAAACGAACAGCATGTTTTTGCTGAATGCCCCGCTTACAAGAGCATACGGGCTAAGTACGGGGACGCAGCATGGGCACCGTTATGACTGAGGCGCCACCCCTGGCATTGGCCAGGTACCTCTCGGACATCTGGGAGGCCAGGCACGTCGCGCTGAGGCGCTTCGCCCTGAAGCGAACGAGGGATGATGATGATGGCCTCCCGTGTACCCGCATCAATACCAACATAACGTTCATGGCTCCCCTGGCTTTTACGGACCACCCCCGTACATGCGTGTGGAACTTGTAACTTGTACATGGGATGCAGCCAAATGAATAGTGGTGCCACACATCTACTCCTGTTTCCATACCCGCATGCAACATATATGAAAAGGATTGTGTTCATATACAAATATATATGTACATGAGCACAATCCGTTTCCCTCTTGCACACTTGAAACATACGTCGCTTATTTTCTACCCCCACGTTAGAGCGCAGCATGGGAACCCGAGCGGCCAATCTCTGCCGGTGCCCTCCATACTCCCTTTTATGCAACCTGGAGTCCGACATACATACATTCATCACCGACACATTACCACAGCTCTCCACGGTCCGTGTATATGGGGCCCGGGTAATCGTATGGGGTGTCAGATGTGGCTCCCGGATGGAGCCGGACCGCAACGGACAGATTTACAAACAGACCAACTACACGCCAACAATGGCATCGAGGACCTACCTCTCAATTTTCGTCCTAACCCGCCCCTTCCTCACTGCACACAGACATCATGCACCCATGCCCTGCAATACCGCAGTCAGCAGGCGCTTCTTCTCAACCCGGAAAGCCACCGCCGCCACCGCCGCCGCTGCTGCCGTCCCGCCTTTCCGCCCGCCGGCGCTGGCGCCAGTGCTGCTAAGCAGCGCCAAGTCCTCCTGCGCATCAATATGGACAGATCATCTCTCCAAATCAATACCAGTAGCAGTTGCACCAGTTTGATAGCGTCCATGAGGCCATTTGGAACTGTTCTAGGATTGCAGCTGCAGCCGCCGTCGCCACGGTAGGCGGACGGCTGCTCTGCTGCCACCTCTGCTGCTCCCTTACGGGTACGCATGTTGGCGAAAGTGATGTCTGATCCTCTCCAACATGCACCGTATACACATGCTCTCACGCAAGTCCAAGCAAACCCTCGATCCCCTGTGGGCTGCTACGACCCGGCCATTGCTTCACTGTCAAACAGTAAAGCACACACATACACACGCATGCACTACATACATATATATTCCATACACGCACATCTCCACATGCCCCATGTGGCGGATCCATTCATCACGTACACGTACGCAAATACACACACACACAGAAGCAATGTTCCCTCCCCAACAAATCCTCAGGGATTGATCTAATCTAGTTTGTGGCTCTTAGTCTCTTGGGCCTCTATCTGGCTCGTATGGGCTGGCTCGTTACACCTCTCTGGGTAACTACGCAACCGAGGTGCAACACATATACACACATAAACACGAAGTACATATTCGTACACCCGTACTGCGTCATGACGTGTTATTGCGTTGTGTTCCTTCCACGCACACACACACACACACATACACGCGCGCGCACACACATGCACACAAGCCACGCACCTGCAGGCTGCTCCCCAGATGCCCCAGCTCCCTCCGCACCACCTCCGCCACCACCTCCGCCAGTTGGGCCTCCTGGTCGGGAGATCCGGACTTGGAGAAGGAGGAGACATCTAGATGCCGGTTATACCGGGGGGCAGGGGGCAGGGGGCAGCGCGTGGGGGCCAGCGGCGGTGAAGCCCGAGAGGAAAGGAGAGGATGCCGCCAACATGGGATTACATTACATCATTACTGAGGTTCCCAACACCACTCTTGGCACATTGGGCCATTTCACCGCGTCTCCACCAAATCCCTCGACCGACCCGCGGAGTGCCGTACATACACATCCACCTCACCTGCCCCAGCCTCCGAGTCAGCCGCTAGCAGGAAGCGAACTGCCTGCAGGGTTTCCGAGGGAAAGCCCGCGCGCTGGATAGCCACCTGTCGAGGAGTTCGGGAGAAACCGGTAAAAAAAGGAAACGACAACAACAACAACAACAACAACCACAACCGGAGTTAGAAGATGTTAAAAGAACCTCTTTAGTGACGGAGTGAGGGAGGGTCATCAGAACAGTTTGCAGTTACAGTGTCTGCGCAGGGGTGTGTGTGTGTGTGGGGGGGGGGTGGTCCGTCGAAGCCGGGGTGGCCACGGACCGTTCACGAAAGTCCATGTTACGGTGCCACGTAACTTCTCGCAGCAGGGACGAGGACCACACACACACAGTGAGCGTGAGAGGTGTGAGGGGCCACCGCAGAGGTAAAACGGAGCGACGAAAGAAAGCTGCAAACCCGGGGAGGGGCCTGCTGCCGAATGGGAGGGAAGCAGGCGTATATATGTATGTATGTATTAATTACATATATCTATGTATATATGTATATATGTATGCCTGCTTCCCTCCCATATATATGTATGTATATATATATGTACGTAAAGGTCAACGGTTGGAGGCATCTTAAGGAAGTTTGTAAGGGCCACAAAGGGTTGAACCCGAAGTAACGTTACTATGCACCTTGCGCAGCACCCACATGAACGTGAACACGCCTACCGCACCTGTTGGAGACTGTTTGCCAGAGGGCTCCCCTTGAGCGCGTCCAGTCGGGACTGACCCACGGACCGTACGGCAGTCAGCCAGCGCAGCATGTCCGTCATGACGTACACGTCCTGCGGGTTATTGGCTTCCGCGAAGCCGTAGTACTGCATCAGCGAGTCGTTGGATTGTGCGCCGTAAGAGATAAACACCTGCCGCAGGTGGGGGCACGGGGCGGGGCGGGTTGACGGGGCGGGATGACGCCGTCGTGGTCAGCGCCGAATGGAGCGCTTTTGGGTTATTGCGAATAGGACGCCTGGGGGGCGTAGGCGGCCAAGCGGCCAAGCCTCTTTCCTTCTTTCCACTTCTTCGCGGCATCATGCAGCCGGGGGGTTATCAGGGCACCTTTCCCTCCAAAGACACGGTTCCTTTCCTCCGTTTTTGGACAGATGTGGACCGCATCGAACGGTAGTAAGTCCTAAATCCCCAGAGCGTACGGCCTGTCCGTCGTACCTCATAAGAGGCCATAATTAGTAAGTCCCAGGCGGCTTTCCAGACGTTTTTCCGCTGTCCCACGCACCGATAAATCCCAAATTCTCACGCAATTCGGCTCCGCCCCCAGACACACCGACCTGCTCGCCCTTCTTGAACTCCCGGCTCGCCACCACACTGTAGCTGTCGCCAAAATAGTTGTACGCCACTTCGCTCTGACAGGCGGGAGCGTACGGCATCCAAAAATGTAAACGTTTTCCGCCCCGTTGTGTGCCCCATCTCAGCGGTATTGAGGCAACCCGGACACTCGTTCAAAAAAACGAGCGCAACGAGCTCGTTCCTTCGACACCACAGCGACATCGGTGCCGATAAAAAAGCCACACAAACCCGTGCGGGTGGGTTGAGGAGGCTATCCTGCAACACATTTCAGGTTTCTCTGGCTGCTATCCCCCCCTAGTGGGCCGTTATAACAGATGAGGAGGGAATATGGTCCGGCAAAGGGTCCATCCATCCATCTAAATCCATCCAAATCCATCCATCTAAATCCATCAACACAGACATAAGCCAATTTAAGCAGTGGGAGAAATGAAGCACAATACCTGGCCGGCCGGCCGGGCCTTGACGAGCCAGCGGGTGCATGTTAAGGGTAACGGTATTGGGGTGGTTGTGGTGGTGGTTGTAAGGTGGTTGGGTAGTTCGTTGCTGATGCGTTTTCCGGGGGCTGGTTTCCCCATCCCCTCCGCAGTCCAGTCCCCGTTCCCGTACACTACTGCACATGCCTTCGGGCATATCGCACGTAGCCACACATCATGTATGTACGACGTACCTGTACGGCGCTGCTATGGTTGAACAAGTCAATCAACGGGCAAATAGCGTATTGCTTGAGAGACCGTGACAAGATGAGCTCGTATAACACGTTGAATAAAAGTACAGCAATCGCCGCGCTGAGAGTCTTCTGCGGGTCTGCCAACCCCAGAACGGTATTGCCAGCCGCCAGCACGGCTACCAAACCCGCCGTACGCAGCCTGTCCTGAAGCGTGGACCCAATGTATGGCCCGCTGAATGTACGGCTCCGCACGCATGACATAGCCCAGAAGAAGTCCTCGCGGGACGGCGCCTGCACGCCCGCGGGTGTGCCTGAACGGACCAGGTCGCCGTACAGCTGCTGCCACTCGCGCTGCTGCTCCTTAACCTGCCGCGAGGGCGATTGGAGACTCTCAACATGATCCAACTCCCCTTCAGACGACGTACCGACGGAACCCAGAAACAAATTAGCATCATGCCGTCGCGTCATCTCTCCCACCGCTTTCAAATCAAAAACACACACACCTACACATACATACAGCCACCACGCGCTGACGGGTGCCCCAAACCCTCTCTGCTTGACGACGGACCCCAGTGAGTCTCGCCCCTTCTCTCGTCGCTGCTTCTGTCCTTCCCGCACCCTTCACCATCCCTCAAGCTTTACTGCGGGTTTGCGGCGGTCGTCTTCGGTAGCTTTTCAAACACCCGTTTTTCTAAGTACTTCCACGGACCTGGGCGATCAGGTACGGATACTGCAGGGCCGCAATCTGTCGCTCGTCCCACAGTACGGGGACGCCCGTATCTGACGGCAGCTGGGCTATCCAGGGCGCCAGCGGCGACTGGGAGCCTTGGCGTTTGTGCCAGAGCAGCATTGCCGCCATTTTAGCGAACCAGGGCGCGGATTTCCACCAGTCGTCTGTGACCATCCCGGGGCAGGAATTGCGCTGCTTGGGCGCGAGCACGACCGCGGACCGGCGAGGGACCTCCACCACGAGCGCGTCGTCGGGAATGTCTGAGGAAGCTGCTAAGCCGCGGACGCCTCCAAAGGTTGAAGGTCGGACTCCGGAGAAGCGGATGCTGGCCGGTCCGCGCGCCCAGCTCATAAACGCTTGCGTGCGAGTGTCATCCAAGAGGACAGCGGGCTGTTGCTGCTGTGGTTGCTGCTGCTGTGGAGCCGGCTCGGTGGGCACGACGTTTCCAGCGCGAGGCACATTTTGCAGACGGCGTGGCCCGGCGTATTGGACCAATGCTAAGGCCCCCCCTGGCGGGTGGCCCAATTGCTTTATGTGCATGTTAATCAAACTTGAAAGCTGGGACGGATGTGCTACGCAGACCTACAGAATCGTCTACCTTGCAAGTACCTTGCCAGCAGGCACGCTCAGGATTTAACAACCCATGTTAGATTCAATTCTTCCACACGTTTAGCTGTAAATAGACTCTGAACATCGCCCTGCGTTTCCAACCAAAAGCTACCAAAACTCCATGCTCCGAGACCAAGGATTTTTTCCTCAAGGTAGTCAATACCGTTGAGATTTTTTCATTACACTTGTAGGTCATCAAGAGGTTGAACGATGTGCAGATCAGGCTCAGCATTCTACGATATACAAGTAAAGCAGGACAGGAAACACCGATCGGCTCTCCGAACCCTGTCTATCCTTTCCTTGTAAGGCGCCAGTATCGAAGCCTTAGCTTACGCCCATCTGTGAGTTCGAGGTTATCGCACATCGCCGCATCTAGGTCTTCTTGCCCGGAATGAGGCCGCGCAGGAACTTCGCGGTCTTTGTCAAGGGGCTCGAGGCTGCGGCTGCGTTGATGAAAGCAAGTTCCAGGTCGCTGCTTGTCGGTCGCCGGGCCATTGCGCCGACCTGGAAAAAGGATGTCACACGGGCGGCAATCAAACGGGACCCACGCGGACACACGGCCAGCAGCGCACCAAAAAAGAGCAGCGGCGATACCAAACGGAATTAGAACGGCTGAAACCCAAAGCAATGTGAAAGTGCAAAAAAAACAAGACGGCTTTGCCTTCTGGCCACGCCCGTTAGCCTGCCCACGCCTGCAGCGCCAGCTGGTACTGAGTTTCCTTTCTAAAATCCAAACTCAAAATTCACATAGGTGCAAGCATAAGCATGTGGAGCACGACGCGGCTAGCCACACGTGCGCCAAGTCGGGGGTAATACACACATAACCTGCATATTACACACCTGGACGAACTGGTCCCGTTCCTTCAGCAGGATACGCCAGGGGGGGCTACCTTCCGCACCAGCTCTGGACTCCACCATACGCAATACGGCGCCCTCCTTCGGGCCCAGCAATCCCTGTGCAGCCGCAGAGGCCAAGGTAGTGAAGCAGTAGCAGGCATCACCATTTCAGCCCCTCCTCAGCTTAAACGCAAGTAGACATGCGGAATCACGCATCAAGGTTGCTTTGGATGCACCCTTGACGTTACGTTGCGCCACAAGCCATTAGCTCCCCTGATCAAATCCCTCCCACCCAAATCCCCCGCGCAATCCTCCTTATAATCCTCCTCCCCACTGCCGCAAGCTTCAGTTGCCGCTCCCAGCTCCCGCCACCCCTCATCGTGCCGCCCACCCTCTCCCTTACCTGGATAGCGCAAGGCAGGAAGCTGTACACCACAGCTATGGACTCCGCTACCCGCTGATACTCGGCGGGCAGCACCGCCCCTTGCTGGGACCACTGGGGGTTGAGCACCACTGCAGCTGGCCCGACCCACACGTCGTCCAAAAGCTGCTCCACCAGGGCCACCTGGGCGCCAAGGTAGACGCAGGTCGGAAAGGAAGAAGGCAGCCGACGAAGCAAGGGGGAACCAGGGAGAAGGGTTAAGGAAGAGGTAAACCGGGAACCCCAGGGTTTTAGGGGTTTGGCACACTGAGCCGGGCAGGGGAGGGGGGTTTAGGGTTTTAATTTGTCTTCTCACATCGCTGATCGAGGGCTCCACGACAAGCAGCAGGCCACCTAGCTGTGTCTGCCGACACGCCTGACGTAAACCCAACACCTGGGTCCCATCGCTGCTGCGGGCAACCTGTACGGCATCTTCGCGCGCGTGTACGAGCGTCCAATTGGCGGGCGCAACGGCTGCAGCGGCGGCGGCGCCGCTGCGCTGCTGGACGCGCGCGGCGGTGGCAGAGAGAACGAGGTTGGCGAGGTCCACTGCGGCTTGAGGGGACGTGTCAAGTACGGGGATCTCCACACCAAAGCGGTTCGCGGTGTTGCCGCCTTTGGACGCGTAGCTGAAGCCCTGCAACGCAATGCCGCAAACGCAGATACGCGGACGGGCGGGCAGGTGGGCGGTCGAAGGGGCGATGGGAGGGAAATGGGAGGTGGGACTTGGGCGCGTGGGTGGGCGGAAGACAACCTCGGGGTAGGACGGAGGGAGGAGAGAAAGGGTTGGCTTGGAACTGGGTGTGCAACTTCTAACCAATATGGCGAGGATGGCAACCCCGCAGTCAAGGGCAACCCTGCTAGATGTCGAGTGGGTAAGTAGTTACTTTATGCTGCAGGAGAGTCCAAAAGCCTCACGAACCGAGTCAGTGGGGAGGGGCGGTTGAGGGGAAGGGGACACGTCGATGGGTGGCTGACCCGCAGAGGCATGACTGTATGGCCGTTATGCGCTGACTCGTGCTCGTCGGTGCGTCAGTGCGTCAGTGCGTCAGCACAGCCCGGTATTCTATTCAGCAAACACTTGGATGGGTCTTGAAAGAGAAGTCCTAATCTTCCGAGATCCGGTTTCTGACGGCTGACGGGAGAGACCGGAGAAGCAGCGGCAGGCACCTCGAACAACAACCGCTCTTCAGCCGCGCAGTACGCGGATCGATTTTCCCGCCCTCATTGTGGTTGGGTTACAGATAGGGCCATCACTAGCACACATACCGTGCCCATGAGCCCCTGCGACCCTGGCACCAAGCTGGCCTACGGCAAGCAGCCTTGAGCCCGGCGAGCTCCTCCCTGCAGCATCCCAGGCTGGTCGGCCCACCTTCGAGGTCTTTGCGGTTTTGAGGCTGGCAAGGTGGGGTTGAAGTGCGGGCACAAGGCACTGGACAGCGGTCAGCACAGCCTCCTGCTGGCTACCCGGGATGTCAATGATGATAGGCTGTGTGGGAGGAGTGGAGGCAGATGCTCCTGAGGATGCCTTTACCACTCGTCTCTTGCTAGTTTTAGGAACGCTCCTGTCATAAAATGCTTGTACGTGTTGAATTGTGTGTACGGGGACTGGTATGAAACGGGTTCGGCATCGTCCCGAGGTCGGCCGCGTAGAGAGACGGATATGATCATGACTAAATGGATTGTAATGTAATCTGCATTGTTTTAACATGGCCGAATTGCGATCGTGGTTACAAGCTTTTAAAGCCTTGCAAATTACTTCCACAGTATTCTATCTAAAGGGAATGTATGGTAACAGGCGCAATTAGTCTTCAATTTCCTCAGAATATTGGACAGTAATTTGTTGATAGATAGGGGCCAGCAGACCAACTCACAATGTACGAGTTAACTGTAATCAGTAAGAGGAGATCAACCGGAAACGTAAGCTTCAGCCTTTAATCCGAAAGAATTTTTCAGCATCTTACATAGAAACGGTATATCTCCTTACTTATACTAGATGAGCGAATTATACTTGCGTATTGTTCGCCGTTGCAGATAGGTTACAGCGTGTACCCGTGCGTCCTTCTACTCTCCATAACGTGTTCGATGTGTCCGCTGCTGTTACAGTAGCAGCATTGAGGAGTATCGCTTTCACCGTTGTTTCGAGCTGTAAAACCGTTCCTAGACATGTTGGTGCTACGCAAGCTGCAAACCGCAAGCGCAAACTTCCCATGATTCCTATCTCACTTCCATGCATCTTCGGATCTACCGGATTTCTTCATCCAATGACAAGATTTTACACTAACGATTGAAAGGCATGTACACATACGAAGATTAAATTTGCGCATCGTCGGCCTCTTTGTTTTTCAGGCTCACCTTCGGCAAATATTCGATTACTCTCGAAACTTGAACAACCTCACCTGATTCGAGCCTAGCCAATCCGCTCAAAATTTAGCGACAACCACGAGTAAACAATGATATTCAAGGCATGCCTGCATTAGCTTGACCGCTTCCCTCTAGGAAAGGGAAGGAAAAAATGCTAATGCCCAGCACAAATCATTCCACTTCCGGTCAGCACACATCTGAACCGTCCGGCAAGGTTATTGCCGGATATTTGCAAGCTACCGCTCATCAAGCATACGTTGGTGCTGCAGCCTTGCGGAAACAATGGTCTAGTTGGCAACACCACAGATAAAAGATAATCAACCTTCAAACAGAAGACAAGCGCATATATACCATATCTTGTGGCTCCCAACAGTTTCGACTGCCCCTCGAAAGTATTCATAACGTACACATAGGTGCATTCAACACGGCTCAACCATACGACACAATCACTCATCTGCTATTATTACCAATTGCAATGCAAACGTGCGAATAGGAAAAAATCCCGTTCCAAAAAAAATGCGCATAATTGTTCTCTCATTCCTCTCATTCCCGCTATCCGTTGCAGGGCCCCCGCTGACCAACGGGCCCAGGGACTCGTGCCCCTGACCTGCACCTCTTCCGCATTCACCCGCCGCCCATACATGCTTGCTGGTTTCAACACCATTGCCTATCAGGCCAGCGTGATGACGGAACGCCGGTCACTGATCCTCGCGCGTCTAGTCAGTCGCTTAGAGGTTCGCCAGGTTGCTTGGCAGAGGGGTAACTGGCAGGCCAACATCCCTGTAACGGGGGAAAGAAAGAGGCAGCGCGAGTGGGTGCGTCAGACTACATTGTTATCGTACATTTGCCCCGATTCCCCCCGTGTAGCTAACCTTCCTTTCCTTTCTTTTCACCATCTAGCCATTCCGGCTTACCCGCCCTCCCCCCCGCTATGTCCCCATTTCACTCACCTCTCAATGTCATCCAGCTCCAAAATGGCTTCCTTCTCGAAGCGCAGGAACAGATGCTCGAAGATCTCCGTCTGCTCAACCAGCTCCTGAGCCACGAACGCCGCAATGGCGATCATAGCCTACAAACACACAAGTTGAACGGGGGCCAAAAAGACGTGAAATGGTGTTGGGGCCCTCGTGAACCTAGACCTGGCAGAATTTCATGCATTATGCGGCGGTGTACGGTCATCAGCAGTTCTCCGATTCCCTGCACACTCCCCTCACGGCATGACCGCACCAAGTACCCATGTGGACGCATGTAGTGCAGGACTCCGTACTTGGGAGCAACTGGAGCGGCATTCAGAGACCTAAACACCCGCTCTCAGCAGGCCTCGTCTGTTCACGTAACCCAACGGATCCCCCTCAGCGGAATAGCCCCCACCCACCCCACACACAAGAGCCCACTTCACTTCCTCACCAGACGTCCGTTGTTAAGCTCCTTCGTCTGCATAACCTTGAGCTCCTCGGGATCGGTGGGCTTGAGGCCAAGGGGGTCGAAGCTGCGAAGAAAACACGTCCCGAAATGGCGGGAAAGAGGTAGCATGCGTCAACCAGTTAAAAAGGGAGGAGCCCGAGGTGACAGAGCCACAGAATAACGCGAATAAGCTCAACAATTAAAAACACATATTTTTGCGCGAGGGAAAAGGTAAACAGTTCTCACGGCCCACTGATCCGTTCTGCTGCCGGGTATCACGCACGGGTATGACGGACTCACCCGAGGTCTCCTGGCTCGTAGTCGTCCTTGAGGCTGTTGAAGCCGGTGTTGGTGGGCGTGGCCCAGCCGATTGCCACCCGGTAGGACTCAGCAATACCGATGGCGATCAGCAGAGGCTCCCAGAAGCCCTGACCGATCTGAGAGAAGTGGTTGATGGCGGGGCCTACAGGGTACCGGAGTGAGAAGAACAATGCGGTATTAAGGGGTCCGATTGTCAGATACCACATGTAGCTGTACTGAGCGCGCTAGGAACGTCGATTTGACTAAGGAATCCCACAATGAAGCCCACCGCGGCAAGCATAGACACGCGGTGGGCTTCATTCTGGAGGAGCAACTGCAGGAATCGACGCACGTAATGTGAACAATTCGGCAAATATCGATAAGCTGAGGTTTAAGGAATGGGTGATGTAGCACAGTAGAATCACAAACATGTCTGATTTGCTAATGTACTGTGTAGCATGATGCCTGCGGTTTCTCACCTGACACCCTGCCATCCCAGTTGAAGAAGAGCGGAAAGTCCTGCAGTTGCTCTCCCACAATGAAGCCCACCGCGGCCAGCATAGACACGCGGCCATGGACGATCTCGCTCTCGCGCCAGCGACGAATGTCGCGGATGGACGCGGTCCGGGCAAAGCCGGCGGGATCGAACACGTTTGCGAAAGGTTCAGTAACGCCGGGAAGAGTCTTGAGATCTGTGGGATGTAGCAGGACAATTTGCGTTGCTGTTATTTGCAATCTGACATGCTTTCATCTACTAAAAGGCAGGCTGTTGAATTGGTTCATTTTGCAGTTATAATATTACATGCAGAAACCTTGATCATAAACACAATGTGGATTCCCACCAACTTACACTCAAGAGTGGTCAGCTCCCGCGGAGCTTGAACCTCAGACCTGCCAGAAAGCGTCTTGCCAGACCGCGCGACGACGGAACGGCGGATCTTGGCCGGCAAGCCAGCCTTCAGAGTGGTGGAGCTGATAACGCTCATCTTTCTTGAAAGGATAATTCGACACACTGAAAAGTGTACTTGGAATGTTCTTAATAACAAGATAGATCGAAGTGCTCTATGAATATATGTAAATGGAATCTTACTATTTATATGCGAATGTGTGTGCGGGGCGCTCGGCCACTCCGTACTTGCAGGATAGCCCAACACCACCAACACCACCGGCCTGACAACCTACAACCGACGAACCGCTCCAACGACAGCGGTTACGGACCATCCCACACCACATGTTTTGGGGTTCCCCGCCTACTATTGATTACCGCGTCAACACATGTACATCTCTAAGCTCTTTACGTAAGCATTATGATTACGACATGTGTCTCCAAATATCTAAAGATATGCTGCAATTGGAGTTGTTGAATTTCACATGTGCGAATTCCATTGGTGAATTTCCCGGAGCATCCAATCAGAATTCTTTCCCAATATATGTTGTTTGTAGTAGAAGGAGATCTGTGTGGGCAGAATGCGAGGGTACAAGATCATCTTGTTAGAATTTCTGGCCCCCTGCCTGTATTGCCGCCGGAACGTTGTATGCTACATGATACCAATGATCCGATATCAACAACGCAAATTGCACGCTTGAACATACGTATACCAAAGCGCGTCGCAGTGATGGTGTGTGTACGGCTGTAAGGGTGCTTGAATCGCGATGTTCGCGAGTCTTGAACTTTGATTCGAAGGTCGTCAAATCAAATAATATAAAGTGGGCATATAACATACAGATTATTAGCATTTTAAAACCTTTGCGTCCTTGGCAAATTAGTTGGCTAGGCCTAGCAACGTCTGGGAAGGCGCAGGAGCTCCTATCGCATGAAGGTCAGTAACCTTTTAACGTAGAGCACATAGCCAATGCACTTTTTGGTCGTCAAGGCTTCACAACGTTGCGAAAACGACATCCGGCTCCCACCGCCTTCTACACGCGCGTACCAACAATCTTGCATGTAAAGCTTAAGTCACATCATTTGCGGAATTATCTGAACAAAATTCGTAACCTTTCCTGTAACACATTGTGCGCGCGTCTTGCGATACAGCGTCTGTAGTGTACGCCTATATTCTTTTACATTGTTGCCTCGCTTACTTGTCTCGCCTTGGCCTTTCGCCTTTGGCTGCTTCTCATCCTCCTTTTTGTTGAATTTGTTCTGGATCTTCATTACGGTGGAACCGTCTGATGTGGGTGATTTTCTGAGTTGATTCCCGTTTAGGGTTTGCTTCCCCCTTCCTTGACTGCGCACCTTCCTCTCTGACAACCGTCCTCTCGGGGTGTAACACGCACCTACCCCGTTCACGATGGCGACACCCTCGGTGCGGCTTGCAAGGGTTGAGCTGTAAGTCGCGGTCGCACGACCTCGCCGCCAAAACTACAACCCCGACTTCCGGCAAGTGAACATGGATTCCTTTTCGATTCCGAGACAGATCAACACCCTCCCGGCTTCTCCCACGTTTCGCAAGTTATTAGGAGCCACGGAAGGAAGACGACACAACAACAGCACATCGCTTCGCCACAGCTCGCTTAGCAGCAACGGAACTACAAGTAAGGACGCGACTCTCCCTGCTTCGGAACAAGGCAACAAGCAGCAGCACGGACATCATCCAGCTGTTACTGCGTTGCGATAGGCAGCCTTGATATGCGTACGGATATACTGGCGCACAGCTCTTACCGTACAAGCTCGTTGAGCGCAAACTACAGCCTCAACGAGATGTCGGGGTATTGATGTACATGCATTAGTCGCCGCTCGCGCAGCAGTTGCTTCCGGCCTTTACGATCCAATTGGATACATTCAACATATGTATATGTTACCATCGGTTAGGCACCTCACCCCTCTTTACTCGAGGTCGCGACCGTATGATTTACCCGCTGTCTCCTACAGCTGGCAATACTTTGGTTCTAGCTCGAATCTCTCCGCGTGTTATCCTATCGGCATCTGATGACCGACAAGAGGCACTTCTGGACAATACACAGCAACCGCAGCGCGGTAGCCATGACAGGCTCTGTTGTTTTTGCGTTCCGATACAACTACCCGCGAGCCCTCTTCTGCCTCCAAGCATGCCAAAACAAGATTGCCATCAACTTAAGTGATGACGTGAAGCATGTGGGAAAATGCACGACATGACCAGCTAACGCCGCCACCGTCGCAACTGCTGTTGTCGCACCAGCTGCCGGCTATGCTGTTAAACACAACCACAGCTGCAGAGGACAGTAACCAGGTCGATTTCGACGCCGCTGCTCAGCTCTTTTCCGCGTGCACATAGTCCATGAACAAAAACAGCTGTGATGCGCTTTCCGCCGCCGCCGCCAGCCCGCCAGCCACCGCCCACAGCGCCGCCGAGCCCGCCAGCGCCGCCGCCGGCAGTGCCCAGGGTACGGCCGCTGGTGCAGCCGCCGCCGCCGCCGCCACCGCCAACACGGCGCCTAGAGCACCACCAGCGACACACATGCCCAACAGACATATCTTCTGTACGGCAGCGGCCGCCGCCACCATCTGCTGCAACTGCTGCAGGCGTTTGCTGCAGGAGGGGCAATGCCGGGTGTGCTGCTCGTAGCGACTGAGCAAATGGCGCCGGCGCTGGGGGTCTGGGGCCTGCAGGGGAGGTTGATGGTAGGGGGTGAGGCGGGGCGGGGCAAGCAGTGTGGAAGGCTGCGCGAATGGGGTAAAGGTCGGGTTTATGAAACGATGTATTGCTCGGAGGATGCAAGGAAGGTCTAACACGAACGAATGCACCCCCCGAGCCCAATTCCTGATCAAGGCACACCACCAGCCCCCCAAGAACAACCGTAAGTGCAAACAGCAAAGAATGCGACCTAAACGTCAAAGCATGGTGAGCAAGCACGAGTCGGTTTCTTGCGTTGAGGACGTTGAGGACGCTGGCACTGATGATGAAACATCCCCACATGCACATCATGCGCTTGCTTCTGTACCTTTTGCCTTCCGATCCATATCATCAGGAGTCTCAAGAAAGTGGTTCGCTCCCTTCTGTCTCCTCAGCTCAACTCACCTCCCCCGGCACCCGGTCCGCGGCATCCGCCAGCAGCTGCTGCTGTCGAGCCCGGAACGGGCCCCCACCCGCACGCTCCTCAATCCATCGCCGGCCCGCCTGTACGGCAGCGTCCGCCTGAGCTGGCATGTAGTACAGCCGTGACCACACTGTACTAGCGCTTCTGGCGGCGCCGCCGCCGTTGGCTGCTGCTGCAACGGCGTCCTTGGCGGTGACGGCGGCACTGCCAGCAGCACTCGGGACTGCGGCGGCGGGAGCGCTCATTGCAGCTTCTTCCTCGGCCTCGTGCACTAACTCGTCCTGAAAGTAACGTGTGTACGTCAAAAACACGTACGGCAGAAACAGCAAATGTAAGGTGCAATACGTACAGGCAGGATGTGTGAACACATACAACCTACGTAGCGCAAAACGTCTAGCGGTGCTTCAAAGTCCAAACCCCTAAATCTCCGTGTAAGAATAGACGAATAATTTGCCCTACGTAGGTACGCCTGATGCCAGGTAGATGTACTTCGGTGTCGTGTTGCGTATGCACGGACCTAGCTAGGTGGGTGCGCGACCTAAGAGCTGTAGGGGGACCACATGTGTGCCTTGTAGACCACACTTACCCTGGCCATGTCACAGCATCGGCTTTCCCACCCGCGCAATACAATACACACACGCCAGTCCCAGCCCACACCGGCAGCTGCACCCACTAGCATCCAGGAACTCCCTAGCCGCCTGCCCGTCATCAGGCTTGGCGTCTATCAGTTTGCATTGGGGGAAAAACGTCCCCGTCCCCTCCCCTTCCTTTTGTATGTGACCACCGTTCTTGTGGCCGCCTCGTACCCCCCTCTCCCTAGGCCTGACTACATGTACATCGTTCTTTGCAAAAGCGTAGCAGCTGGCAGCGGAAGCCAATAAGTTTTCCTGGGTTCGGCTTGCACAGCGGTTGTGTCGGTTGGGTATTGTACAGCAGTGTACAAGGCCGGTTGGCCTGCTATTTTCGTGCTGTCCTCCTCCTCCTCCTCCTCCTCCTCCGCAACAGCAGCAGCAGCAGTAGGTCGCTTGGCGAATGCTGTCAGATCTGTCACCGCCGTGTCGCAATGTGTTATAGTACGTTCGGTCCCCGGTGCGCTTCGCAGCATGTCTCCCACAACTCGACCCAATTCCCCCCCATACGAAGGCACGCATCTCCTCTAGTTTGCAGGTGGTAGTTCCCTTCCGGCTGTGTCCTCGCCCTGCGCAGGACGCAATGCGGGGCACCTAGACGCACCTAAGCGTGGGTGTTGGGGATTGGTCATTCACCCAGCCTGAATCCAATTTCGGACTCCAATCCGAATCCTAATCCAATCCTAACCTAAATTTCAAACCAAATCCAAACTTGCCCCTGCGCTCAGTGTCCGGTGCCCCCCCGGCCCCCCAAGCAACCCACACCTGAATGTGCAGGAAGCAGTTGTCGCCATCAAGTAGGTCATTTAAGGACAAATGGTGAAACACTACGGGGTCATACCTGCGGTTGTGGGTACATACATACATACGTACTTGTGTCAGCAAGGCAACGCAAGGTACTACAAGCGTGCACCTCAAGGTTATATATATACGCATACGTCAGCTAATCTACATTACAACGCGTGGAATGCATTGAAGGTAATGTTCTGTACTGTACATTACTGTACAGTCAAAACGAACCGGTGCAGCACATGTCATGTGGTCCACGCTCCACGGTCGGTAATAATTTAAGCACCTACGTTTTCCCCCACGGTTCAACCCCCTCCCATCCCCATCCTCCGCCCAAAACATGCTCAGGTAAATTATGATTACATAATTTGGGAAAACAGCGCGCTTGCTTACGCGCTATATAGGTGCATGACGGCCTTCTGCGGGTCACCCATCAGCAGCCTTTGCAGCGAAAGTTTGACCGGGGGCCATTCCGTCAAAGCCGTTATGAAGTAGCTGCGGTTGGGGCCCTCGGGAACCACGTAGACCTCCATGTGAAGCGGTATCTTCTAAAGTCAGTGGGTGGTAACAGGTTGGGTGGCGGAATGAGGGTGAAAGCAAAAACAGACCGGGGCTGGTGCAAAAATTACTTTTGACGCTCTTCACGAACCAAGCGTCAGGTAATGCAGCGTATGCGTCCACGTACGCTCCTGGATGTATCGTTGGGCACGCATGTAGGTGAGGGTGAAACTCTGTAACGACTTTTGGCTCCTCATGCACCCCCGCCTGGCATCCAGTCGGACCGCAGTGGCAGCCTAGATAGATGTGCGATGTGTGAAACAGGGGGGTATATCTTCACCCGTGGCCGCTACCTGGCGAAACCCTGCCTTCCCCGGTATTTCGGGGCACCCTCATCCAGTCACCCAAACCAACTTCTCAGTGGATCGCTCAGTCCCGCACCCACCACCAGCATCCAACGGAATCTGCCGGGTCGACAGCGGCCCAACTCCATTCCTGGTCGGCTCGCAGGTTAACTTTATCCCAGGTCCATAAACCCCTATAGGGGCGCAATACCTTCCACCATCGAAAAGGTTTTCAGCTATGATAGATCTCCATCCCGGGATCTCCCGGGGGTACTGGTCGCGCCTTACCAGCAGTGCCTAACCTATGCATGGTAGCTGTGACGTCTGCGTGCCTCAACTAATAAGTGTCAAAATCGTACTGTGCAGTGCGTCAGGATGGAACGGGAGGCTCCAACAGAAACACAATAAATGCAAACCATAAACCTAAGCTGATATGTGTTGATTGCAGATAGATGCAGGAAAACGCGATTCGTTCAATGATTTTTGTTTAAATACAGGGCGCGCCGTGCCTGTCCGCCACTTCCCATTCGGCCCCTCCAATCCCTAGCATTGCGACACCCCCCTAGAACGCGCGTGGAGTTGCCAAAAACTCCATGCACACGCACACGCACACGCACACGCACACGCACACGCACACGCACACGCACACACACACACACACACACACACACACACACACACACACACACACACACACACACACACACACACACACACACGGCCCCCCCAAACACACGCCCCCCCACACACACACCTGCGGCCCCAAGCGATAGGTGTACATTACTTGATGTGGCATGTGGACACTGATGGTGGCGTCTGGGGAGACGTTGCCCTGGAAGCCATACTCAAAATCCGGACCATCGGGACGAGCCCATTGGGGTGGTGGTGTGGGTGACTCAGCGCCGGCAGCGGCAGTGGTGACGTCCTGGGATGGCTTCATCGGCATGGCGCCACCTTTGTCCCTGCTTCCCGTTGTCGTACAAAGAGCCGATGCCACCAACCACGGCGGAGGAGGTGTCAGGCAACCCTAATTTTTCTAGTAACGCTGTGCTGTGCTGTGCCGTGCTGTGCCGTGTTGCTGGCAGTGGAAGTGATAACGCTTATTACTTGCTGCGAGTGTGTGTTGTAGGAACTTTCAGTGAGGGTGGGTAGCACTCAGCATGTGAGGCACGCGAGGTGCTTGAAAGCTTGGCGAGGTTGCGAAGGGATCGACGCCTGTGTGGTGCGAAGGGCGGCTCAAAAGGAATGTGCCATGTCAAGATGCGCCGACTACTACAGCTTGGGGTAGCTAGTCCCTGGAAAGGAAGGCTGGATGCAGATTCCAGTCATCTTGCTGCTTCATCAAGTGGTGCACTCGTGGATGTGTGTTATGACCCTAACATTCGTGAATGCGATATGGCCACCAACCAATGCATTTCGTGCGTAGATCACACGCCATACTCTTCGTGTTTAACTGTTTTATGCATGCGGCAACTCATGGTGGCACGATGTCTCCAATAATTTTTCACCGCTTACACCGGGATAGTAAGTAGGCTTGAAGAACACTGCCGCCACATTCCATACACACACGCATATGCACACACGCGTCTGACACGCGCCAGAGGAGTACCCATCAGATGGGAAGCAACCGGGAGTGCAAATGGCGAAGTATAAGCACTGGATGGGGCTGCCCTTTCCGGGAGCCGCAGCCGTCATGTGGCCAACACATGCTAAGGTTTTCATTCCTCGTTTAGCACATCGTAAGCTAATGCAGTTTCGTTTATGTTGCTGGGCTCTGGAGGCAAACAGATCACGAAGAGGCAAGTACCATGTCCCCAGGGGGCAGCGGTTTTGCCGCTGTCGTGGTACTAGTAGCCGATTCGAGGATGAAAAATAGGGGGGTCCTTGTGAAGCAGCTGCCCGCGTTTCCAAAGCACGTATGGTGTTGGATTGTAAGGTGCCCAAGTACGTTTGCGAGGAAGAGAATGTGGCCAGGCTGGAGAGGAAAGTGCAGTGGCATATTGGAATGTGAGATTAGCGTAAGCGAGTCACAGGGCGTTTTATTGCACGGGCGAATTTACGTGCAAATCTTTCACCGTAGCATCAGTCCTCAGTTCACTTCTTGGAACGAACATCAGCATAGGTCCAAGCCCTCTCGCTTGGAGGGATATGCAAACAAACATTCTGATAGGGGTAAACTCGCACGCTACCGAGCATTCAACCGAGCACATGCATGCTTAGTTGAATGGTGAGATGCGCCCCCCCCTTCATTTCGTGCTCGGCAAGCCTGCCACCGCGTACCGGATATGTTGGCGATGTTACAGAACGCTGCACCTTGGTTTCTGTGCTCATTGCGTACGTTGCTCGACCCTGCCGACCAAAACTACACGTGCCCAACTGAAGACATTCCCGGTGGTTGTGCAGCAGCTCTTGAGGCTGTTGCTGGCTGAAATCCATCCTGAGCTGTTGCAACACGGCTAACGCGGGCACGTCCCTATGCACAGCAAATAGCTGTTCCAAGCCAACAGCGGCGTCCATGTCACCGACAAGGCTCTAAACGTCTTATCTGTTCTTATGTTTAATTAAGTTTATGTATGTTATACTTTGCGCAACTTTGTAATTTGACTTTACTCTGAACAAGGTGCTGCATACAACTGCCTCTTCGCCAGCGCTTCATCTTCCGCGGCAGTTTCACGAGCCCAGAGTTGCAAGCTACGACGTTGGCTTTCGGTGCTTTTATTTACTGCAAAGCATCGACGCAATAGTCCAGCGTGCGGCTATGGCCAACATGCTCACCTGCGCAACGCGCTGGCGCACCTGGTCCTCATCCGCCAAGAAATTTTATATACATTTGTACAGGCGCATTTTGCGAATCGCACGCGCGCATCTGCGCGGCAAAATTCGCTCCTGACTTTTGGGACGAGATGTACGGATTCTCTATTCGCGAAGTACGACCGGACACATTTGTGCGAGAGGCTGCTTAAACACGTGTTATTGGAATGCCCAGCCTATAATGATATTCGTGCTGAAGAGGGATTCAATCATCAACAGAGCATGTTGGAGGCCATGAAATGGGAACCAGCACGTCTGGCGAGGATGTTGGAACGTATGTGGGCTCACCGAAACTCAGTTACCCCCTTTGGACGCTAGTCTGGGCTGAAGTGCGGTGTTTCCTTTTCTCCGTGGCTTTTAGGCGTTGTAGTATTGCCCTTGGGCCTTCGGCTCGTATGGGTAGTTTTACAGGTATGAGGTCACGCACCCCCAACCATGTAACACACACACATGCAGGCGTTCTGTCGGGTATCAGGTCGTTCAGACTACGAAATTTGCGATGGCAGCGGTTGGGCGGTTTTAGTAAAACAAGATATCTGGTTAACGAGGGTCAGGAATAACAGGCTCACTGCTACGGCATACCAGCCTGGTAAGTTCAAGTACTTCGACGCAATTTTTGTTTTCTCGTGTTGAGTAGGATATATGGTAATAGTTTTCCTTAAACGTTTCCTACATCTATTTCGGGCAGCCCTACACTGGCCCTTGGACCTCCGGCGCGTATGGGCCCGTTACACTTTCGGGCAGTAATTCAACTTAGCGTGTAAAATACACACGCACACACACATACCAGCATACATACACGCACAGTGATTTTTTTTTCATTTAGGGGGGGTCTCAATTTATTCCGACCTAAGTAACAAAGTTGCTAGCGTCGCCGTAATGTATTCCTTAAGAGTGGGGCGCTGGGGGGGGCTACGCCCCCCCCAGACCCCCCCCGATAAGTTACAACTCCCCGTCCCAAACGCCTTTATCAGGAAAAATTTCAGGCTTATCTTGCTGTTTTGGTGTTTGTTCGGCGTTCAAGTCGTTGCCTTTTGCGTGTTTGGCTATGTAAGGACCGGTCATACATTCTGCTATGCCGCGTTGACTCATGGGCTTGACCTTCTTACGGCCCCTCATATCTATTCTATGATCGATAATACTAAGTTCTGCACACTACGGAGCAATCTGGCAGCAATGGACGTTTTTGGCTGGAGGAATGAAAATGTACGGATCGGCCTCAATTTGTTCCTTATTTCCAAAGGCCAAAATGGCCTCTTTATTCCTTAAAAGGAATATATTACTTAAATAAAACACTGTACACGCACATACCAACATACATAAACACATATGCAGACGATTGTCCAGGGCCCTTCGCTTGTTCGCATTCCGTCACACAGATCTTGTACCCCGAGATCTTGTTCCACCACCCCCGGGATCCAAAACCCCACCCACCTATACCCATATACACACCTTTTCAGCTGCGGGGAATGCCCATGGTGGCTGTACGGTAGGTGTGAAGGATCCAGCACGTTCTCCATACAGATCTCGTAGCTGTACGGCACTTGTCGTACATACCATGCTAGTGGTAGGGGAGGCTTCTGTGACGACGCCGAAGGACGTGGCGATTCCATGCTGCTCGAGTATTCCTTGAATTGCTTGTCCCTGCGACGCAGGTCGTTGCTGACGACGAGTTCGGTAGCGGCCGCTGCAGCCTCCGCGTCAGGCGATGCGTCGGGCCACACCCACAACATGTTGAACTGTAGCGGAAGGATGTTGGTGTGTTGAGACATTTGTGTTTAGACATGCGTGTTGAGACATCTGTGTTTAGACATTTGTGTTTACACGTTAGGCAGGTAGGCAGGTATGCAGGTATGCAAGTAGGATGGACACATCAGTCGGTCGGTCAGTCGGTCATGTGGTAGCGATCAATGAGACTTGCGGAAAGGGGCATAAGTAACGGATTCCGAGGAGAAATGAGTGGCCGATGCCTTGGCGGAAGCTGCCACAGCTAAGGCGCGACCGTGGGCAACAGCAGCAAGGGCGGGCGCGGTACATAGGAAGCGGCACGTGCGAAGTATCAGACTTGATAGCTGTCTGTAAGTCATGCCCGCTGTGGTTCACTGATGAAGTAGCATCCGTACATCCTTACGGAATTTGCCATTTAAATTGTCCTGGCTAAGGCTGTGATGATTTGCAAGCCTAAGTGTGAACATGATGCCCCTATATCATGCCCACCACTTGATTGTGCCGAATGTGCTATAATCTCCCCAACACCCCCCCACACACAAACACGCTTACCTCGACTCGGGCGGGGTAGGCTGTGGCACAGGACCGCCTGCTGCTGCACGCCGCCGCCTCTGATGCCGCATCCACCGCCTGCGGAATTCGGCGACAGGCTCCGGAACCATCGAAGCGCCAGCCGTGGTACGCGCAGGACAGCGAGCCGTCCGGCTCCACTCGACCCTCCGACAGCGGCGCCAGGCGGTGCGGACAGCGGTCTCGGAACACGCGCCACCTGCCGCCCGCGTCCCTCCACACCACCATCGTGATGCCCAGCAGAGTGACGGGGTTGGGGCGGTCGGGCTTGAGGTAGTCCACGGGGATTAGCGGCCACCAGTGCCTGCGGGAGGGGGCCCGCACGTACAGCAGGCCGAGGGGAGAGGAGGGGTGAGGGGTTGCCGCTTGAGTGTGTTGGAAAAACCTACATGTGCCCTCGTGGAGGAGCTAATGCGAAAGGCGGATAGTTGACAGCCGTCCCATTCCATGAGGTAAAACCTTACCTGGCAGCACCTGGGCGTGCCTGCTCGGCTTGCTAGGTCAAGATTGTCGCGACTGGCATGGCGGCATAAACTCATCGTTGGGGGGACAATGCACGAGCGCAAGCGGCTCACGGCTGCAGCGTTTTCGTTCGGTAGACCAGGCGGCGTGTGTTGACCGGGAGTGAGTCCACGCCCTCTACCTCGGGCCGCACTACGGGCACGGGCACATTTCACTGCCTGCGCGATGCAACTATTAGCTGCGGGAAAGCGAGCCACGCTTGGCCGCGCCACAATGTGCCGACAGTAAAAAGGTTACCGTGTCTAAGCTCTGTATGAGCCTGTACAACACATTTACCGTCCCCTTTCTCATCGTTCGGGGCGCAAGTGCGGCCCCCAATGTGAGCCTCATCCATGCGAGCTTCGAAAGCGTTATGGCTAACCCTATGGTCGAGGAGCAGCGTGCATTCAAGTGATTTGTGGAAGGTGCGCGAAATCCCGCCATGCTCTGTCTCTGCCCTCTGCCGTGATAAGCTATCTCAGAGGCCAATGCAGCTTCATTGGGCTACCCAGGTTATTAGGTTTTGGAACTCCCTGGTGAAGAGCCCCGGCGTGACAATGTGCCACCGAGCGTTCGTTCGGGCCTAGGGCTAGAGGTCCAGGGTACCACTGATCGTTAGCCAGGAGAAGTCCTTGCTTCCCTGCCTTCCTGCCCGGTACGGGTGTGTTTGCCCCTGCGAGGGCCTCCAGGGCTTACAAAGATTTGGTTGCTCATTACGCTGCCGTTAAGCTACCCCTCGGTGATATTCCCCACGCGGCTCGAAGCGAGGTGGACGTGTGCCGGCACCCCGGAGTCGACCCGCGGGGGGGCTTCCCCACCGGAGTCACCGGATGGGTTGTGAAGGCGCATGCCGGTGTCTGGACTGGATGAGGGCATCCCCATAGTAAGGGAGCGCGGCTGGGGTGGCTCGCCACCACCGGGGCTGTGCCGCCTAGGCCATTGCACCAGGTGCTCACGCGTTTCATATTTAGGTCGTTGGGAGCTGGAAGTTAACTAAGCGCGTAATGGCCGCATGTGTGCTGCGGGCACCTGCAGGCCTTGTGACTGCGGAGTAGTCGAGGGTGAGCTGCATGTCTATTCCCTGAATGCCCTGGGCCGTCGAGTCAAAAACGAGGGGGACATTGGCATCCGCGGGCGCGAAACGTGTATATAACAGTTATGGCTGAAGCTCCCCCTCCTTTTAGCTGTGGCTAGTTTTCTTTCTGGAGGTCTGGGAGACCACAAGGACACATCGCGCTCAGGTGCGCCGAGACCAGGCGAGCGGGAGAGGATGTCAACGTCCCCACTCGCCGCCGCCAGGATAGCTGTCGACCCCCGCCTTTTACAGACGCCACCCCGCATTGTGCGGAACTTAAAACTGTGTAACTTAAGTAGCGAAACGACGGAGGCGGGCCGTGTATAGTTCTTTACCAAGGAAACGCACGCTTTCGTTGTCGCACAAGCCTCGTGGCCGTGTAACCCGCCGCACCTGGTCCACACGAAGTCGGGTTTTGGTTGGTTTACTCCGGGTGCAGGTGCGGGTTTGGCGGCCCCAGGAGCCGTCAAAGAGCTGGAAGTGGACGACGACAACGGCGCCGTCGCCGCTGCGGCGGCGGCCGCCACTGCCCCTGGCGACCTCTCCTCCAGAGAAGGCGTGCTGCCGCTACTGCGGGTGGGAGATCCAGAGCTGCCGCTGACTGTCAGTGCTACAGGTCTGATGAGCAGGTGGCGCGGCCGGGATCCTGATGGCGGCCTTGACGACGGTGGTGGTGGTGATGGTGGTTGTGGTCGGCGACAGAGGGCCCTCAGCATCAAGGGCTGGGCGGAGAGGCGGCTCCTGAAGATCCCCCTCAGCAGGGAGGAACCGCAGCGACCAATCGGGCGAGCAGTTGCGTTGTTTTGGAACATGGATGCAAAAATATATACATGGTAAGGGCAGGTAAGGGCAGGTAAGGACAAAACAAGTCGCTTGCGCGCAGAGGAGCGGAAAAAGACGGTGTTGGCCGTTGTAACTGTCGCAACCAACACAGTTTGAATGTGCCGAAATCCCCGCCGGATCGGAGCTGTGTGTGCATGAAGTGCAAGACCAATCCGCGGACCAAGTTCTCGATGGCTCCGACGCCCCGAAAGGCAGATAGGATGTTGCGACGCTTCGGCAAGGATAGACAGCTTAGACAGATGGTTGGGACTTTAGGATTCAATGCAAGTGCAATTCACCTGTTTGTTCCTTCCATATTACCCAAGCGCGGATTGCGCATGCTGTGGTTTCCATAAAACCCGATAGACATCGCGGTAAAGATACCTATCACCGGCGCTGTTACAGCTCGGATTTTGCAAGAAGGTTTCTACAAATCTGCGCAAAAGGATTCGCAGCGTGGGAAGAAGCAGCAATATGCGAAGACATGAGAGGTTGCACCTGTAAATGAGCTACTGCGCCGATATACCCACGCCTGTCCAACGTATATTATGGCAAATGGCATCGAATATTGTAGCATGATTACGCCTTCCGAGGATACCGGTGAATTTGTCATGTCAATGGATCCAAGACCGTTGATGTAGACGAATCCAAAGACAGTGTCGGAACTTGGCAATTGGCGTAAGTTATGACGGCGTTTCCATCATTCCATCAATTTCCTCCGCATCGCTGTCCTACGCGGCTTTAGTGAGCGGGTGGGCCATGACGGCGTCCTGCAACTGGCTGGCTTTAAGAAAACAGCCGTCGCAAATCCCTATCTGTCCCAATTCGTCGATTCCCGGTTATTCCGCTTTCCTACATTGTTGCGTTCCGTCAACCTTTGAAATTTCCGCAACCTTCTTCTCACGGCAGGATAGTTGCACAGTAATGACGGTAAGCGCATACTGGCGCTAGTTTGCATACTAGTTTGCCAGGCTCGCGCGGCTTATTGTCATAGCTGCAGCAACAAAAATACTAATAATCAGTCGTTGGCAATTCATGGTGATGGTGAGTTTATTGGTATCCTCGTTACGGTATAGTTGAATTAGTAGTGCTCGACAGACGTTGGCAACCTGTTTGTTCTTCAACCACTGAGTAAGAATTGTAGATCTAGGAAAGAAGTTTTTTTGCTTCCCAGATGAGACATCCCTGCAAAGATATACATAAGGATCCTTTAAAATCCCTGGCCAAAGCGTCCCTGCCTCCAATAGCCGCCAGCTCGCTCTGCGCGCCCACACCCCAACAGGCTTGCTGTTTCCAATCAGCAGCGCCGACCATTTGGGGATATGTCACTGGCGGTGGACTGGCGGTCGAGTAGATCGCGCAAGCGGCAGCAAGACTGTTGCCAGTTTTGGACACGATGAAGGCAGACAATTAGACATCGCAGTGTACATATCGCGATAATATTGCATTACAGCACGGATGACACGAATTCACCGCGATTTGCCTCTCTTGCAGAAGGTTTTAAACACGCGGCCACACCAGCATGCTTTCTTCCTTAGGGTCTTCCTCCAATCTCTCGGTAGATCACACGAAGGTTCAGGAAACCTTCATCAAGATCCAAGACAGACGCCACAGCAAATGATAATGATAATGCGCCAGGGTGCGTCTTGGGGTGCTGCTGTAAGTACTGCCGTACGATGTGCATGCAAAGTACGACAGTGTCATACACAAGTTATGGTACCTAGCAATTACTGAGGGGATGAAGAACAATGCTCTAACACACATGCAAATAACTCTTGTATGACTATTTAAGTATGAGAACATTGCACAGCATTGACCTTATTTTACGATTGCGATGGATTAACGCACAATTGAAAACGGATAACAAAAACCGTAATCATGCCGGTGTGTCTCCGTGTATAATAAAGCTACAGCAATTGCCATACATTACGATACAACCTATCGTACCGTGCCCACCTCTTCTCTAAAGGGAACCTCCGGCAGTGCCAACCGCACACCGTGACAATTAACGACACGCTAATGCACACCGAGACACACATAGACCGGTAGGCTCAGCCGGAATATGGTCAAACAGGAAATCACATCCCGCATCTATGTATGATAACCACGCTAGGCGACAGTAGCGTGTTCCACAAGGGGCGTGATGACCCAACCTTGTGCCCTAAAGAGCTCCCCTTTTTCCAGAAGACACTTAGGCCTCTTCCGTTCCAACAATCAATCCACCCAGACTGACTGCTCGACCTCGCCCCTATTTACGGAATTTGCAAAACAATGTCATGCCACCGGCACGTAAACCACTAGACCTGCATAGCAGCCTTCGCCATTGCTGCCCTCCTGGCTTCGTGTAATTGCTAGCTGCCGGCGGCCTCACCCACACTACCCTCAGAGTTAGAAGCAGCAGCGTAAGCAATGATCGTTAATTCTACGAGATGCCAGTAATGCCGTACACCATATTCCAAGGCTATATGATGCCTTGGTTGGGAAACCTCTAAGAAACAAACGTAGGCGTGAAGGCGCACAGCAGTGCGACCTCATCCTTGTTGGGCTTGAATGCGTCCTTACCCCAACAAGTAAAACACACACACACACACGCACACATAACACAGCAGCGGAGCTATGGAAACACTACTACTCAAATTTCTAAAGCGGTCCCGCTATTGCCAACATCTTTAAACATTTTCCTCTGGATCACGATGTATTCAAATTTAATTTAGTCGTTGGGCAGCGGCGACGGGTGGCGTAGCGCTTTAGGAGAGGAGGCGGCGGCTGCTGAACCTGTGGCGGCCGGAATTGGGAGGTGGCGGCGTTTGCTTGTTTGTCAACGGCGGCGGGGCCCGAGTGTCCGGGGATGGAGGCCTGGGAGAAGGCTGTGCTGTCTGGTTGGCGGGTGACGGCGGCAATGGAGAAGGCGGAAGGGACTGCTTCACAGGCGATGGCGGCAAGGAGGCGTTCAGTACTGTCTGGTTGGATGGTGACGGCGGCAATGGAGAAGGCGGAAGGGACTGCTTCACAGGCGACGGCGGCAAGGAGGCGTTCAGTACTGTCTGGTTGGATGGTGACGGCGGCAATGGAGAAGGCGGAAGGGACTGCTTCACAGGCGACGGCGGCAAGGAGGCGTTCAGTACTGTCTGGTTGGATGGTGACGGCGGCAATGGAGAAGGCGGAAGGGACTGCTTCACAGGCGACGGCGGCAAGGAGGCGTTCAGTACTGTCTGGTTGGATGGTGACGGCGGCAATGGAGAAGGCGGAAGGGACTGCTTCACAGGCGATGGCGGCAAGGAGGCGTTCAGTACTGTCTGGTTGGATGGTGACGGCGGCAATGGAGAAGGCGGAAGGGACTGCTTCACAGGCGACGGCGGCAAGGAGGCGTTCAGTACTGTCTGGTTGGCGGGTGACGGCGGCAATGAAGAAGGCGGAAGGGACTGCTTCACAGGCGACGGCGGCAAGGAGGCGTTCAGTACTGTCTGGTTGGCGGGTGACGGCGGCAATGGAGAAGGCGGAAGGGACTGCTTCACAGGCGACGGCGGCAAGGAGGCGTTCAGTACTGTCTGGTTGGCGGGTGACGGCGGCAATGGAGAAGGCGGAAGGGACTGCTTCACAGGCGACGGCGGCAAGGAGGCGTTCAGTACTGTCTGGTTGGAGGGTGACGGCGGCAATGGAGAAGGCGGAAGGGACTGCTTCACAGGCGACGGCGGCAAGGAGGCGTTCAGTACTGTCTGGTTGGATGGTGACGGCGGCAATGGAGAAGGCGGAAGGGACTGCTTCACAGGCGACGGCGGCAAGGAGGCGTTCAGTACTGTCTGGTTGGATGGTGACGGCGGCAATGGAGAAGGCGGAAGGGACTGCTTCACAGGCGACGGCGGCAAGGAGGCGTTCAGTACTGTCTGGTTGGCGGGTGACGGCGGCAATGGAGAAGGCGGAAGGGACTGCTTCACAGGCGACGGCGGCAAGGAGGCGTTCAGTACTGTCTGGTTGGATGGTGACGGCGGCAATGGAGAAGGCGGAAGGGACTGCTTCACAGGCGACGGCGGCAAGGAGGCGTTCAGTACTGTCTGGTTGGATGGTGACGGCGGCAATGGAGAAGGCGGAAGGGACTGCTTCACAGGCGACGGCGGCAAGGAGGCGTTCAGTACTGTCTGGTTGGATGGTGACGGCGGCAATGGAAAAGGCGGAAGGGACTGCTTCACAGGCGACGGCGGCGAGGAGGCGGTTCCGTTTGTTGGGATTTCGGACAGGGCACCTGATCAGGGGAAATAGTCGTTAAATCCAGGGTGTAAATTTTACTAAACTCTTGAAACAATTTAACTGCAACAGCTCGGTGCGTCGTTCGATAGGCCACATATGGGTCGTAATATGGCCTTTGCGACCAAAATGATACCGCCATTCATATGCATGAAATGGCCACTTGATCACAACCGACGTACTCAAAGCCATAAACAACCCGCCGTTGCGCTTTGGCATAAGCTCACCTTTCAAAAGCAAGAACGCCAGGATCAGCGGCATGGCTATGTCCATTTTACTCGTCATGAATAACAAAGGATAAATGAAATCTTATGTCTGATTTTAACTCCTTAACTGATCTTGCATTGGATTTTATACGCATCAATTGAAACCCTTTTGTACGGAGGCGACCACAACAGGCATCCAAAAGTAAAACCGGATGAATCGCTTAAGCACGCCGCATAAAAAACCGCCCATGCCAGTAAGTTAATGTTTTATTCAAGATTATATCTGGTTTCACAGCAAACTTCAGCCAGGGCTTGGTTTTCCGCCACAAGTTATGACGGGAAGGTGTAGTGTCGAGTAGTTTAGCGTAGCTCTATACCTTTAAGTCGATGGCGGTAAGTCAATCATCAAGATCATTTATCAGATGTGGTATTTGTCTTGAAAATTAATGGCGGCACGACGCTGCAGGAGATGAGGTCAAACCGTTTCAAACCAACCACCACAATTCTGCACGAGCCACCAGCCACCGCATCGCAACCCTTTGCAAGTCCACCAGCCACCGCATCGCAACCCTTTGCAAGTCCACCAGCCACCGCATCGCAACCCTTTGCAAGTCCGACGACTGGCTCAACGCTCCCAAAATTTCTTGTATATTCAATATTACATAAATATAAAGTAATATGTAGGAGGAGGTTGTCTGTGAGCCGTCGACGATTGAAATTCCCATTTGGAAGGTCTAATTACGAATGCATCACTGCAGCATGTGTCAGTAAGGGTCCCAGAGAGCCAAACACTGAACCGTTATGTTGGCTTGCCCACCTGCTGAAAGGCGGACAAGCGTTGAAAGCCTGCTGCATGAGTTACGGACGAGCACTAAGTGGTTGAAACGCACAATTTTGGCGGATAGCGAGGAGAGCAGGTATGAGGCATATGAATAGCAAGTAAACATGCAGTGAAATTCAAATCGGGTGGACCTAGAAAATAAAGAGAAGATGTTTCTAAAGCACGAAATTGAAGGATTGGAAGAGATTGGATAGAGGCGTAGGGGATCGACAGGGATCGACAACCCCTAGAATGGCAAAGTCGACATGACTGGCGCAGCTGTCCAAGGACGAGCAAAGGACAGGACGAGAGCAACAGAGTCCTAAATATGTTACATGAGAAGAAGCAACACGGCTGAGCGATTTAAAATGTAGGAACATGGACGAGCATAGTATTTGGAACGTTTGAACTTGGAATGCTGCACCGAAGCTCAGCAGGGTCCATGATTATGTAAAGTGCCATTGATGCAAATGTAATAACGTAGCGAAGCAGCGGATCGGATTGTTACAAGTTACAAGTTCCGCGCAATGCGGGGTGGCGTCGGTAAAAGGCGGGGGGTGTTATGGAGGTCAACAGCCATTATTGTGGCGTTGACGTCCTCTCCCGCTCGCCTGGTCTCGGCGCACCTGAGCGCGATGTGTCCTTGTGGTCTCCCAGACCTCCAGAAAGAAAACTAGCCACAGCTAAAAGGAGGGGGAGCTTCAGCCATGACATTATACGAAGTGCGCGCCCTCGGAAGCCCCCCCTCGTGTCCCCCTCGTATTTCACCCGTAGAGGCCATGGGCTGGTGAGCATTTACGGAATAGACATGCAGCCCGACCTCGACCACTGCCAGAATGTTTGCAGGGGTTTGTGAATGCGCGCCGCAGCAGGGATACCACGTAGAATATTGAACTCTTAATGACACAGTACGGTGTGTAATGCTAACGGGATGATGTAGGCAATGGCGCCCGTCACGATGGATCCAGGCATGTTGGTGTTATGCCGGGGTGAGAGGCGAGGCTTTCACGGCTGTCTGCTGTTTGTCTGTGTGTCTGTGTGTCTGTTTGTCTGTGTGTCTGTGTGTCTCTGTGAAGGTTACAAGTATCTGACCGGGCCTGACACTGACTGGCCAGGGGCTGCTGCCCAGCCC